TCCTGATCTCTGCTCCTGAGTAGCTAGGAGTATAGGTGTGAACCACCAGCATCCGGCAGTAACAGTACTTTAACAGTATTTAACAATGCTCTAGGAATGCTTGCCTTCTGTCCCAGTGTCCAGGAAGAGGTGGGTCCTTACCATGTGTTGCAGGTACAAAATAATAATAATATAGTAATAATAATAGTCACAAGGGCCTTTCTTTAGAACTGAGAGAGGGAAGCAGGAGAGTCAGGGAAGGAGCAGGAAGTGTGAAGATGGATGTAGCTCAGAGAAGGGCTCCAGGAAGCCTCACTGCTGACTTCGAGATAAAAGAAGAGGCCATAGCCCTGTAAAGCTGGTGACTGTTAGAGACTGGAAAAGGTGAGGAAAGGGGCTGTCCCTCAGAGCCTCCAGAAAGATCCCAGCTATGGGAACATGTTGATTTCTGTAGTTTCATGTTACTGTGTTTATGGCAATTTGTCACAGCACCTGTAGGTGTTAAATGCAAGAGAAGTCAGCTTGTCTAATCTGGGGCTCTGTGGATGTGGGATAAGGGCTAGATCATGTCGCAAAACTCTATTGTTTTCCTGCTTCTCATCCCAGGACAGATGACACTTGGGGGCATTGGCAGAACACCCTTGGAGCTCTAGTGCAGAGGCAGCTTCTTTGTGGGAGTGTGGCACCTGATTGGAGCAAAGGTGTGTGAGGCCATCACCCTGCCCGGGTTCTCAGAGGAGGACTGAGAGCAGCAGCCCAGGTGAGTGGAAGAGGTTGCAGGTGGATGCCTTGTGAGTCAGGTCAGGGAGGAGGCACTTTATTCTATCACTATGGAACCTGCAGATGTTCAAGCAGGGAGCTGTACCTCTGCCCTGGAGGATCAGTGTGGAGAGGAGACTTGTCCCAGTGCGACCCGGTCAGGGGTAGAGTGGAAAGTGATGAAGAGTGTGGGGCCAGAGGCCTGGAGGACCTTGCTAGGTGTCTGAACCTGGGTTGGTCCTTTCCTCAGTTGCTCTGACAGCCCCTCACTGTGTCCCCACAGGGGTTATGTCCTGAGCACTGGCCTTCTGGGTGGAGGAGACACTCAATGGCCAGGGCAGGCCACAGTGAGGCTCTGAAATGTGGGAACCCCTGAACGTCTGCTGACTGCAGAGCTCTTGTGAATTTCATCACTCCTTGGGCTTGAACCCTGACCTTCATCTTGGCTCCCAACTCCCAGCTCCTGTGTCCTGGGAAGACAGACCATGTGGGAACAACTTAGTGATAATGTTTCCTCTGCATGACACAGGAGAGAGCTGACCTTGGAATTTCAGGTGAATGTCTGCTCAGAGAAGTTCCCATGAAAACAAAAAGAGCCAGTGAGGGAAGGGTCTCTTTATTCAGCTCCTTTCCAGGTGACTACTAGTGCTCCCTTCACTTTTCCTAGAAGATCTCTTCTTCCTTGGGGATAGGTGCCTTTTGCTTGTCCCATCCAGAGCCCAGAACTGCTTCTCTGAACCTCCAGAAACTCAGGAGGGACCCCTTCCCTTCCCTTCTCAAGTCACAGTCTCTTCAGGGCTCAGGCTCCACCTCTGGCCCACCACCCAGGATCAGGGGTCCTAGAAGGACCCTTCATCTGCTGATAAGCTGCAGTTTTTGGAGGAAACTAAGAAGCCACATATGCTTTGTGGTCAATCTGGCTGTAAATGTTCACATCAGGGTTTAGTAATTCCTGTAAAGGAATATAGAGGCTCTGACCCCTGTGCCCTGCTCAGAACAGGGTCCAGAGTCTTCCAGGTCCTGCTCCACCTGGGGCTGCTAGCTGCCCTGGCCTGGCTGTGCTCAGGGCTCCAGTCCTCAGGACTCACTCTCCTCTGCTCTCCACCCCTGCTCCCTTTTTTACTGCTGTCTTCTGAATCTCAAAATTCAGCCAGGCATGTGGTGGGGACAGGTTCTGGGTACACCTTGGACCTGTGGAACCAGAACATTCATCTTCCACACTTACCTCATAGATGGGAGCAGCTGTCCTGGGGCCAGGGAGAGGGGCCTGTGAGAAGTGAGAGAGGACAGATGGCAAGGGACAGGGAAGGAGGGCCATTGAAGTCAAAGACCCAGTAAGCAAGTGCCAGGTTGAGCCTGGAAGGTTCTGGTCTCTGCAGTCCAAAGCTTACTTCCCTGTGTCTACTTTCCTCATTTGCCTCCAGATGTGACAAGCTCTGCCTTCTATTCACCACCCTCCAGGTCCAGAAGGACCGCCAGTCCCTGTCCTAGTTGTGCCTGCCCTGCACCCTTCTTATCCAGGACCCCTGATGCTCCTAGCACCACTGTGCACCTGCTGGACCAGGGGTCCCTTAGGTGGACCCAGGATGGGCTAATGTCTATTTGAATGTGGTCCTCTCTCTAAAGAGAGGCCCTAATTTGGCCAGGGCTGGGCTAACTATTCCTGACACATGAGGAAGGTGGAGGTGACAGTGCTCTGTCCTGAGCCTGCACAGCTGGGACTCTCTGTGAAGGAGGAGGGGACAGACTTACCAGGGAGGCAGAGCTGTTGAAGGGTCCACATCTTGGGGGCAAAGACAGGAGTTAGCAGGAAGATGTATGCAGGGCTGGGTACCTTCTGTTAGGGTGGCCTGGGAGTCCTTAGCTCTCAGAGCCTCCCAGAGAGAGTCTTCCAGTCATGTCAGAGGCCAAGTGAGTGAGTGAGGCTGAGTGATAATCATGACCTGGATCCCAAAGGTCTGGATTAACCTGGAAGTTAGGGCCTCCTATGTTGAGTTTTTTTCTCAGATACTTTCTTGAAGCTCCAAGGAAAGGGATGAGACCCCAGGAAGGTGACTGCACAGGTGGACAGTGTGGGGCAGGCCTGGGACTTCAGCCACTCCTGGGATCGAGGTGTACTCACTGAGGGTGGACGCTGAGGGCTGGTGGCCTCTGAGGGTATGGAGGATGCTGGCCCTAGGAAAGATCAGGTTTATTCATGAGCATGCAAGGAGACATCACAGCATTGGGGGAAGACAGAGAACAAGGAAGGGACAGCATTTCTAAGGAGAGATGTGGAGACGCTCTTCTCCATCAGTTCTGTGATAAGGAGGACAGGGAGCCAGAAAAGGGGAACTGAGGAAAAGTCTTAGCAATCCACTTACTTGCCTTGGGCTGTGACTCAAGTGGTAGAGTGCCTGCCTGGCAAGCATGAGGCTCTGAGTTCAAACCCCAATACCACAACCACTATCAATGAAAAGAATCCAGTGCTGGGGGCCAGAGAGGAAGGTCCTTCAGGCAGATATAGCTGCAGTAGAACACTGACACAGGAAGCCATGCAAGGGACTGAGGACCCAGGAAAGGAATCCACCCCAGGGTGTGGCTGAGTGGAAGTTTCCAGCCCCTAAGAGGAAAAGCAGGGCCAACCAAGTAGACAGGACCCTGGGGGCCAGCATGCATCTTGATTCTCCCTGAATTCGGTAACCCTGCGATGGCCAGACACTCTGCTCAGATCAGAAGGTGATGGCATGTGACAGTGGCCTTGTCCTTACTTTTTGATCCCCTGGGCAGGAGAGAGGACATTCAGAACCCACTGTCCTGGCTGGGCCCTGGCACTCCCATCTTACCTATCCAGGGCTGTGGGCAGCACAGCAGCCGTGGGGGTGCTGACCCTACCCAGTCTGTCCAGGCTCCTCCACTCTCCCTGTGTGACTCTCCCTGGCCAGAGCCACCCCTCAGATCCTGGGCTGTGACCCCTCCCTGGAAGGTGGGTGAAATACATAGGGGAGGGGTATTTGCTGAGCACTGACTTCCCAAGTAGCACTGCAGGCTTGCTGTGTGAGGGACTAGGACAGAGTCTGGGCTGGGCCCCTAGGTGTGCCATTTACAGAGGAGGAAGCAGTTGAGGAAGCAGCCCGGGATCAGCAGCTGGTGAGGGAGGAGCTGGCAGAACAAGGGGAAGCATCCATGCGAGGCTGGGGGAGCCTGTCCCAGAACCTCCTGCCTGGTCATCTTGGGGTGGAGTCAGGTGGGAAGAAGCTTTAGTACCTGTCAGCCCTTGTGAGGAACAGGAAACAGACCAGCAGCCACCAGAGCCACCCCGACCAGGACCCCCCCTCACGATGCCTGCGATGGTCCCTGGAGAAAGGCCTGAGCTATTTCCTCCTGCTGAAAGGAGAAGAGAAAAGGGAAAAACTGTGTTCCAGGGGAACCATGAGGGGCCTCGCAGGGAGGCGAAAGGTCAAAGTTGAAGAAAACATAATCGAGGTCTCAGTGTGATTTGTTATGTTGTCATCTCCATGTCCTTTGAGTCTGTTTCTGTTGGCGGTTGCTTCGCTTTCTCTCTAGAAACCTGGACTTCATCTAACTCACATTCCCCACATGCAGCCTGTCTCATATCTGTCACGTTCCTGTTAGTGACTCTTCCTTTGTTTCTCTTCTCCTTCCTACAACAGTCCTGGAGGACAGGTACTAGTCAGTCAACACAGGCTCATTAGTGATGATGCTGGTGACTGCCTGCCCTCAGGAGCCCTCCATGTGTCAGAATGGCAGAAGTCACTTTCCTTACATCTCATCTCATCCTTCTGTCCACTTGAGGAGCAACAGATGTCACTCCATTGTGCAGATTTAAGATCTGACACTATGTGCTTACATACCAACAAAGGTCACAGCACTGGTCAGTGATACAGTAACATGCTCACCCAGGTCTGCCTGACTCACCAGCTAACACCAAGTTCATGGAAGTGTTACCAGCGATCGCATTGCCTGAGCCGTGACCCTGCAGGCCCTATGATGAGGACTTTGAAGCCTTAATCTAATAAATGTCTCTCCGAACAACTTTAAGATCCAGGCTTTGTGTTTTAATTTCACAGATGAGAAAACTGAGGATCAAGAGGTTGATCTGGTACAGATCAAAACCAAGATACTGACGAGGTTATCTAATTTCTGCTTTCTTAACCATGTGTTCTACAGGCCTGAGGATCTCCCCATCCTCATGTTTATATAATTTTCTACCCCTGACAATGAAATAGAAGAGGGAAGGGGTGGGAGGGGCTGAGGGGCACTTACAGATCATGGCCAGCCTGAGGGGGCCACTTGCTGGAACTGGCTGGGTTGGAGACCTCACACTGACACTCTCTGGCATCCTCCCTCCTGACGGGGTCTATGCTGAGGCTTCTGTTGTCCTGAGATGGATTCATCCTCTCCATGAGCCACAGACTCTGGTTATTGAAGATCCACCGAATGGAGATTCCAGTGTCGGCTGAGAGGCAGGTCAGGACCACAGATTCCTGTTCTGTGACTGTGGTGTTGGTGGCTTGAATGGAGGGCCATGTCACTGGCTCTGTGGACTAGCAGGAGAGAAATGACTAAGTGTGGTCTGAGACCTGGACCACACTCCTTCCTCAGAGACCTCAGGCAGCTCTTGAGGTCCACAGTGAGCTGTGTAAGGTGGCTAGAGAATGACTCTGACACTTGAGGCGGTTGTATGTCTTTGTTCAGATGACAGCTGCAAGGAGAGGGCTGCACCTCGCTCTGAACATGGATAACTCAGGGTGACCCCGACTGCTCCCCTGGACATCTCTGTAACATACACACCAGAATCCTCTTCTTACCCCATTTTTTCAGCATCCTCCGCATCAGGGACTCTTGGGAGGTTTTTCCCAAAATTCTCATGGTTCTACTGCATTTTGTGCTGCTATAACAAAATAGTTGAGACTGGATAATTTATTAAAAACAGATTTATTGCTCGCAATTTGGATCCTGAGAAGTCTGAAATCCAGGGGCCCTGTCAGGTGAGGGCCCTACTGCTGCAGCACAGCATGGCAGAAGCATCACAGGATGTGAGTGTGTGACAGAGAGGAAGGAAGGGGTGTAACCCATCCTTTCATGAAGAACCTATGCTGCATAACCTGACCCACTCTTGGGACAGCAGCATGGCTCCATTTATGAGGACAGAGTACTCAGGACCTACTCGCCTTCCATTGGGCCCACCTCAGATCACTGTTGCTTTGGGGGTTTCGTTTCCAACACATTCAAACCCTATCAGTGAGCTTAAAAATATTGGGTCCTCAGTTCTGGCATATGCTCTGTGTAACTTGGAAAGAAGGGATTATCAGTTCTATCCGTCTGGGGCCAAGGTCCAGTGACTCGAAGTAGTGAAGGTATGTGCTTTTAGTTAAGTAATCATTAGGGAATGAGGAAGAATCATCGCAGTGATTATGACCTTAAGACCTGAAGAGTCGGTAATTTGTCGGTTAAAGGGAAATGGAATTCCTGATTAGGCCGATTGAAATCTCTAGAGAGAGGTGGTCACAGTGCTGACCAAACCTGGTGTCCCAGCTTTGCTCAAATACTGAGTTTAGCCTTGCCCTTCCCTCCCACGCAGGGACTCCACAGTGAAGCTCCCTGTTATCCAAGCGAGTGTCCCTCAGAGTTCTCCAGGTGGCTCACATGTGCAGGTGTCCACAGCCTTACACAGCTTCAGAGCCAGGACACAGCTCAGAGGCGTTGGCCCCAAGGCTTGCTTTTCACATTTCCCTGCACCTGACTTGGGGAGATCCATCCAGGCGTCCATAAGTGACATAATTTATCTGGTTCAGGACGGATCTCCTAGATACCTTCTCCATCATCCTGTCCTACCGCGCATGGAGTCAGAGCAGAACCAATCACTGCATGAGCTGGGAGCAGGGTTCTGAGCTGTTTATACCCATCTGTCCCTAGAGGAGGGGCTTCCTCCTCTGATTTGAGAGACAAGAGGGGAAGTGTTTGTCAAAGCCTGTGTGTTCCATGGGGGATATAAAAGAAAACAAAGCAGCAACAAATATGACAAGTTAATGATAGAAAAAACCTACTTGTCACTTCCTTCCCCTACTCTGTGAAGCCCTTGGGGATGGAGCTGGAGGATCAGGGGAGGCCTGGGATTTGCTAGTGACTGTGGACAGGGGCTAGAAATGAAATTCTTCCTGCTCTTTGCACAAAACTAAGGACTCCACCCCAGGGAGCCACTTACTAAGGAGTGTCATGTATTTATGGTGCTGGGGTTTGAACTGAGGACCTTGTGCTTACAAGGCAGGCACTCTACCACTTGAGCCATCCCTCCAGCCCTTTTTGTTTTAGGTATTTTCTGAATAGGGTCTAGCATTTATGTTCAAACTCGCCCAGACCTTGATCCTCTTGTTTATGCTTCCTGTGTAACTGGGATGACAGGTGCTTGTCATTGTACCCAGCTTTTATTGATTAAGATGGGATCCTGTGATCTTTTTGCCCAAGCTGGCCTGAAAGTGCCATTCTCCTGATCTCTGCCTCCCACATAGCTAGAATTACAGGCATGAACTACTGCTCCCAGATAGGATTGTAATATTCTTAACTGTGGTCCTACTGTGGTTTGTGGCAGAGTCACGGATGGGACAGGTGTAGAGTCCAGTGTTACTTGTAGTTATGTTGGGGACTAAGAGCTCTTTGTGGATGGCTGGGACTGCCCTTGATAAGCCAAGAATACCATGGGGAAAGGATAGAGGAATTCTGAGATTTTTCCCTGATGGGTCCAAGGCAGGAGTTGGGGGGTCCTCAAGGCTGTCTGGTGCAAACAGAAAAAAGCCACATGTGATGTCTTAAGAGGGAAGGAGAAGCTCCTTGTATGATAAGGCCATAATATTCCTCTGAGCCATGTCACAAACTTGGCTGGGAGTATATCCCAGTGGTAGAGCACTTGCTTGTCATGCACAAAGTTCTGGTTTCCATCCATAGCACCACACACACACACAAATCCCTTACACACTACCTTCCACTGAGCTGACTCTGAGACCTCCCCCTTTTCTCTATCACAGGTGGTGGCCCCCAGCCTCTCCAGACAGGAACAGTCCTCCTCCCATCCTTGGCTCAAGGCTGGGCTGCCTGGATGTGCCTGGGGCAGGACCACATGGCCAGCCTGGGTGCCCAAGTGTGAAAGACGGTGTACTTGGACCTGAGAGGAACTGAATGGACTGAGCTCTGGTCCTGTGTATTGGGGCTGGCAGCCAGGGCCAAGGAAGATAGAAGTTACTCACAGAGAAAATTTAGGGTGATTGGATCACTGTGACCAGCACTCACTGGGTTCTAGGTTCTATATTCGTAGTGCCCCATGTTATTCCTTGTGACACTTAATAAAGTGAAAATCCTGCTGTTCTTTGACATCACCAGCTTGTTTCCAGCTAGAAGGCTGTGACCATTTATCCACCGGTAGGTTGTGTGCTGAGTCTCAGGCTCACACGTTAGTGCTACAGAGACCTCGCCCTCCACGGGGCTGGAGTTGGTGCTTATGACAAAGGGTTTGGATAACTCTGCTATGCAGATATTAGAGAGAAGGTGGTCCTGTGTGGTACCTGTGATCCCTGTGGAGACCTCTTGTCTTTTCATCAGCGTGTCCCCTTTCACCTCCCAGGGAACCTGAGTCCTTAAAGAACCAGGCAGGAGTGTGTCTTATAGCAGATGCTTGAGGACCCGAGTGCTCAGGGAATGTGATCTAGGATAAAAGTTTTAGAAGTTAAATTTTTTCTATATGGGAACATTTTTTAGTGATTCCCATGATCTAAGACCAATTCTGAAAGGAGTATTTCTCTAGAGAGCACCATAAGGCCTTAGGCCAAGCTCTGAGGCCTGCAGGGTCACATTAAGATTAAAGGCAGACGCTAACATCAGTTGAGATCCTCAATATGAAGACTTGTGGGTCCTGTGGGTAGACAGAACTGGTCAGAGAGGAAGTTTAGGTGTCTCTATATAAAAAGAGGAACAATACCAAATACTAAATTTGGAGAAGTGTTCTGTGCCATGTGAATAAACTTAGAAGTCTAGGTCCCCAATTACTGTGAAGTAGGAAGAAGACCAGCACAGTGTGGGAAATGCTTTCTTCCCCACCCCCACTGTCCCACCCGGTACTGGGGTTTGAACTCAGTCCTTGCGCTTGCTAGGCAGGCACTCTACTGTTTGAGCCACTCCACCAGCCCGTTCTTGCTTTAGTTATTTTTCAGGTAGGGTGTCACATTTTTGCCTGGGGCTGGCCTCAGACCATGATTCTTTTACCCAAAGTCTTCCCCATAGCTGAGATGACAGGTGTGCACCACCATGATTGGCATATGGATTGAGATGGAGTTTTGCTGACTTTGAGTCTGGGCTACCCTAAAACAGCAGTCTTCCTGGTCTCTACCTCTTCAAGTAGCTGGGATTACAGGCATAAGCCACTCCATCCAGTCTGGTTTCTTTCTTTTCTTTTGATCACAGGAATCACAGCTAGAATTTTATCAAATTCTTCCAAATGGGTCAGAGTCTGACTGGTGCATCTGACCATGTTGAAGGACTCACCTTGTGACAATAGTGTCATCATGGGGAAACCGGTGGGTGTGAAATATGCAGTACCCCATCAGACAGCACCAGTGGAGCTAGCTCCCCTTTGGGGAAACTCCCAGGGACCACTGGAGGAGTGACAGCCCCACACTGGGACCAGGATGGAGTAAGGAGTGAAATGGGTGGAGGAGCCTGGAGTTTGGGGGCCTGAAACCCTGTCCTTCTTCTGCCTCTTACTCCCTGGTTGAATCAGTGTAGAGAATAGACAGAGAATCTGTCCATCCCTGGCTCATAGCCTGTTCCACGTGTCACCATCATGGAAGGAAAGAGTTCTGGATGGGGACACAGTGGAGGCTACTACACAGTGGGGGACATTGGCTTTTTATGTCAGTCGCCTTCATATAGGCAGCTGCTTTGACTAATTTCTGTGCCCTTTACTGTTGTCTGTGAGGGTGGGCATAGTCTGGGTGAAGGTAAGGAAGCAGTAACTGGGCAGGAAAGGGGCAGTTCCACTTAGAGTGAGAAGAGAGGGCAAGGAAGGAGCAGGGAACCATGGGGGTTGCAGTGACTTCAAAGACCCCAGGGGAGCCAGGTGCTGGTGGCTCATGTCTATAACACAGGAGGCAGGGATCAGGAGGATCACAGTTCAAAGCCAGCCAGGCAAATAGTTTGCAAGACCCTATCTCAAAAATACCCATCACAAAAAAAAGGGCTGGCAGAATGACTCAAGGTGAAGGCCCTGAGTTCAAGCCCCAGTACTTCAAAAAAAAAAAGAACCCAGGGACCAAGAACATCATAGCAGCCTTAAAACGTTCCCCCAGCCCAGCAGCCCCAGGGTCATCAGGAGACAAGGGTCTCATCACCCAGAGAGCAGGTGTGGGCAGAACCTCCTAGAACTCTGCATGAAGGTTCCAGTTTCTGAAGAGGTTCTAGCCCATCCACTCATCTATCCATCCACCATCCATTCATCCATCCACCACCCTCACATCCATCTATCCATCCATCCATTCATCCATTTATCCATCCATTCATTCACTCGTTGTTCATTCCTTCCCTCCTGCATCACAAAACTATTGCAAGTTGGCTACACATTGGGCCCTGCGTTGGCTGCGGGGTGAGGTAAGGAGTGAGACAGCAAAGTCCTTTCCTTTATTCTCCAGGAGGAGTGACAGTGTGATAGCCAGTACACCAGATTTCAAGTTTAGCAAGGGAGTGTGTGTGGGGGTGGCTGGTAGAGAAGACTGGACACTCTCCATACTGTGTCTGAGAGCTGAGGCAGGTGATTCAGTCCTAGAGTAAAAGCTGATGGGCTCCCTAATTGCCCTCCCTTCCCAGACCAAGCTCTCCCTCCAAGCCGCCCAGGCCAAGAGGAAAGGAACTGAACCGGCCACTGGTATTGGGCTCTACAGATGCCTAATAAGGGTGGAGGAGTAGACAGGACTGTGGCTGCAGACAGCCAGTCTCTGGTCTGCCACTCATGGTCTGTCACCTAATTTGGTAACTGGATTCTGTGTGCCTCTGTTTCCCTTTAATAAAATAGTATAACCAGTTAATGATATTTGCTTGCCACGTTGTCTATGAAACACCTTAAAACATTCACAATCACCTGACCTGAACTTGGTATGGAGAGCTGCTGAAAACAACAGCATCTACTGTACTGTGTCCCCAGGAGGTGTCCCTCAGCCTGAACTCCAGTGGATGAGGTCTCTTCTTCTTCTTCTTCCCACTGGAGATGCTGACCTCCCTGTGGAGTCTCTTAAGTCCCCCAGGACAGATGGCTAATGGCCTTGGGAATTTGTCCATCTCTGCTGCCCACACCGAGTCTCAGGTAAAGATGGGGCTCTGCCCTGGCTCAGATGTGGCTCTTGGTTCTGTTCCCTGCTGATGACCAGTTCTGGGAGCTATGAGATCTGGACAGCCTGACAACTGTGGTTCCCAGTCAGTCCTGGTCAAGAGACCAAAACCCATCACTGGCCACAAGCTCACCAGGATCGCCTGGAGTCCGAAGCCTGGGACAGACACTTTCTGGGGCTGAGCTGCTCTGAGGATCCCACGGGGCCCTCAGCAAGGCCCTGACCTGGTTCTACAGGGGCCTTCTCAGGGCCAGGTTCATGGTGGGGTCTTGGGGGTTAGGCAGAGACTGAGCTACCCATCAGCAGGATTCAGGTGAAAGATTCCCATCTTTTGAAGTTTGTCTCCACTGCATGTGTATCCTGCACTCAATGCTCAAACCCCAATGTAGGGACACAACGCAGAGCAGAAGGAAGGGACAGTTGGGCATGACTGCCCTGAGTGAAGTGGCATTAACCCCACCAGCACCCAGAGGTCACAGGGAATCACTCACAGTACACATGGAGCTGTCCGGATGCTTCTTCACTCCCAAGATCTGGGTTCATGGTTTGTAGGGTGTAAAATCCCGAGTCATTTTGAGTGACGTCTGGAAGAGCAGGGATCCATTGGGGTACACTGTCTCTTGGCCACTGTGTGCTGGCCCTGGCGTGTTTACCTGAGTGGTCATTGCATAGGTTGCAATTCCAAAGCTTTCAACTGACCTTTCCCCTTTGAACCAGCGATAGACTAGAAGATTCTCTCGAGTGTTGTGGACAAGTAGAAGGACATCCTTCCCCTCAACGGCATTGAATGGCACTGATTCAATGGTGAGTTGGGCGGCGGTGCACAGGCCCCAGAAGGCCAAAAGGGAGGCTGGGAGGAGAGAGAAACCCGTCAATATCGGGACCTTTGTAGAGAGGGTAAGTGAAGCTTTGGGCCCTGGGCAAGTGTCTTCAAGCTTCAGTGTATGTGTCTGTCTGTCTGTCTATGTGTGTGTGTGTGTGTGTGTGTGTGTGTGTGTGCGCGCGCACTCAGGTCTCCTAAAGGGAGGTCAGCAGCATGACCTCCATTCTTTCACTGCCCCTGAACTCTTCCCAGGTGTCTGCACGGCTCACCCCTCAATGCCCTCACGTCCCTGCTCACACTCAGGGCACCCTGGAGAGATGCCTTGCCTGACCCCCTCTTTTGGAGACCCTCGACCTTCACTTTCTCACCTCTCCCTGCTCTGTCCCTGTGGCTCTTGTCACTCCCTGACCTCACCTTCTGGATGTCCTTGCTGCGCTGTGCTCCTGCCACTAGAAGGAGAGCTGTGTGAGGACAAGACCTGCTCTGATCTTTGTTGTAACCCAGTGCCTGGAGCAGGCTCAGGTTCCTGTGGCTGAATGAGCCATGTTCCTGGAGTCTTGCATATCCACGGTTTATTTGCCAATTTCTGAGACTGATGGCTAAGGACATGTTTTTGTTTGGAGAGTTGCCTTGACATAATTGTTAACATCAAATTTCAAATTATGGAGGTCTTCAATAATTAACTTAGAAAGGAGAATAATACCTTTTCTCCCCCCTTACCAACTCCAGCTTGCTGACAGTTTCATGTGGTTGAGCCTCTGTTCCTCTATATGTCCTCTCACTTAAGGCTCCAAACAGAAGCCTTGTATACCCTACTGCCCCTCCTGCCCACTCCCAGGAAATCATCTCCTCACCTGTGAGCAGAGCCCCTGCCAGGGAAGGTGTCTTCTGTTCAGAGGGACTGAGGGGGTCTCCATGGTATCTGCCACCTGCTCTATCCTCTCTCTGTGAAGCAGAACTTCAGCCCTGGAACTTTATCCAAACAGGCCTGCTCAGGAGTCAGCTCTGTTGTCTTTCCTTCCTCTGAGATGAACTGGTTCTTAGGTAGAAGCTCATCCCAGGGTCAAATGGGCTGAGGGTGGGGTGTGTATTCAGGAAGCCTCTCCATCCCCTCCCCTCTCGGTTTTGCTACAGTCCCTCTTCCCCTTTTGGTTAGTTTTTCAATCCCCCAAACCACACTGTGGAAGCAAGTGTGATGGGTTCCCCTATTTGCTGAGAGGATGACCAGCTCACCTCAGTACCAAACTCTGCTTTGTCTTGGCCTTTAGGCTCTCAGTGCCACACAGGGGGTCCTGTGGGTTCCCAAGCCCTGGGGAATGTTCTCCTTTTGTATTATAAAAACCTAAATGGGTACCTGGTCTTCCCCGCTGTTCTCACATATATGGGAGGGTGGGATTTACTCCCAGTGGGAAGGTGACAGGTGAGGCTCTTAGGGCTAGAAAGGAGCCAGGTGAGTGATGACTGGTGAGAGGGACCTGTCCTCTATCTGTGTCACCAGCCTGGCCACTGATCCAGGGACAGAGAACCAGGAGTGCTTGTGTGAGAAGCAGCTTCAGGTCCTGGGTGTACAAGGACAGGTGACCTGTGTGTCCTGTCAAGAAAGGACTGTGGTGGTGGAGGTCCGTTGGCCCCGGGCCTGGTCATCTTAGGGAAGGTGTTAGGGAGACCCTCTATATCCCTGTGTTGGCTGATCTGTGATTCAGGTCTGCCATGTCCTTCATAACTATTCTGGTTGGCTCCTGTCTTCTGCCTAGGTGACTTTCCTGTGGTCACCCTGTTTTTCCCATGAGTGATGCCAAGAAGGAGAGGGCTGCATAGAGACACTTGGCAGAGCAGTGTCCTCAGAGGCCCAGGAATGAGTGGGCAAGACAGAGCACACACGTGGGAGGGACCCGGTAGAGTCTGTTGGAGCAAGGGATGGAAGTCAGGCTGCATCTCCACCTGCTGAGTCAAAGCCAAGTTCATGTCTCAGGGATTTACTTTGCTGAGTGTTGCTTGTGTGTTCTGATGTCGCTCCCTGGAGGCCATCAGGAGACCTGCAGCCAGTGTCAGGGGCTGCAGCAGGGATGGTGACCAGGCTCCAAATGGTGTGAGCTTCCTGACCCCTGGGTGCAGGTAGGTTCTGCCCTCTATGCTGCAGGGCTGGTCATCTTGGGTCCTGTTCAGGTGTTCCCAGGTATCTGATTCCATCCAATGCAAGGTAAGTCTAGGGAGAGCATAGGAAATGTCCAGAGTCAGGAGTTGTGAACCTTGGGGATGAGTGGCCTCAGGAGCAGCCATGTGACTCTGAGTCCATTAAGGACTTGAAAGCAGCCTGGGCTGCATCTTCACTTGGTTGGGGAGACTATATCCTCGGATCTTTCACAAGGGATTTGATGACTATTTGACTAGGGTGGGTATGTTTTATACATCTTCCCTAAAGTCTTTAAAATTGTTTAAAAATATATATAATGTGAAATGCACTATTTTAATCATTTTCAATGTTCAATTCTATTAATTACATTCAAATGTTGTTCAACCACCACTACTATTTCTAGAGATTTCATCACTTGAACAAAAACTCTGTAGCCATTAGCAATACCTCATCATGATCCTCCCCCAGGCGTGGATTCCTGGAATCTACTTCCTGTCTATGGATTTGTCTTTTCTGGATATTTTATTTAAATAGAATAATAGAATGAATGGTAATACTTTTTGCACTTTGGTTTATTTCACTAAGCACGATTTTTAATCCATGTCATAGCATGCATCAGAACTTTATTTTTATGGCCGATTAATATTGGACACAGATCACATTTGTTTGTCCACTCACGTGTCATGGGGCACTTGGGTGTCTCCACACTGTGCCTGTTATGAATGATGCTGGAGTGAGCATTACCCTGCAAGTATCTGAGCCCCTGTTTAAAATTCTGAGTGTAACACTCTTTCAAAAAAAATCGCTATCAGTAATGTATGTTTCATTCTTCTAGAATCCTAGTTAATGCCATGTTTTGCATTTTATCTCTGAAGGCCATGGGAAGAGCTGTCCACACGGTGTGGATTTAGGAGGACTTCTGTACATTTAAGCTTCACAGGAGCTGACAGATCATCTCTGTGCACACGGGCGTAGATTGTCCCTGTCCATTTCCACCTGTCATCCCAGTACACAGTGTGGAGAGACACATTTCCCCCTCAGAGTTGGAAGGCATCTGACAGACTCCCCAGAGACCCCCCCCCCAAAGTGTCCAGATGCTGCTGGTCACAATGATGACTCCAGGTGGAGGTCTGTCTGCTCAAGGTGGTGTGAAGGAAATGGTCCCTGAGAATGCATCCCTCAAAATCACACACAGAAGGTGTGTGACAAAGTTGGGATGGTTGAAGGACGGATATAGAGGTGAGTAATATGAGTATCAAGTCCAAGAGGGTTATGGAATGGCCCAGAGTCTGAGAAGTGACAGGGACATTAAAACGCCCCTTCTGCCTCCCCCAGCTCCAGTGAGGGAGCAGTGCTGTGCACCTCCACAACACAGACAGTCCCACAGCAAGGACACGTCAGTGGATTACAGATTGGAGTCCTGGAAGCTGCGGTGCCCTTCCCCAGCTTCCCCTGGAGACCCCTTCACCCTGATTATCCCCATCCCTCCCATGACTCCCCCTGCTTAGCTCCCCTCCTCTTACATTGTCAGTTCCATCATCCAAAGGTGCCCCTTGTCCAAAGTCCCCTCTCTTGGTCCCTTTGCACGTCAAACAGGAAGCGGCCACTAGAGGGTGCACACACTCCTCTTTGAGCTATATGACCCTCACCATCCCCAAGACAAATACAGTTGGCTTTTCTTGTCCCAGCTCCAGTTGTCAGGCAGGCTTCAGATTTGCCCAAGGTGAAGCTCCTGGGACAGCCACCAGGGACTCTAGGGAAAAACTGCACGTGGAGGGTATGGCGGGATGCTCTGATGACCTGGAACGCAACCCGAGGGCCCAGGTCAGTGAGGAGAAGTAAGGTTCAGGCACAGTGGCTGGACACACAGATGCTCCTGTCTCTGTGTGGCCACTGGAGGAAATGGCCCAGAGCCTGGGTCCCTAACAACTCTGTCATTTAGAATCTGTCCTCATGAGCCTTGGCAGGGTTCTAGTCTGGAACATTCCAGACTAGACCTGTATGTGGGAGCCATTTATCTTGGCTTTGTCCCTGAGACTTGAAGAGGCTGATGGATGGACTGCAGGAGGAGTGGTCAAGGTCAGTTCTGCCTCCCAGAGGAGGCTCCAGCAGTTGTCCTCACTCTCTCCTAAACAGCCACAAGAAGGGTGTCCCCTGGTTGGCTCCTTTTTCTTGGTGAACTCAAGGAACCTGCTGTGTTCCATATACTGAAGTCACCTCAGTTGCCCCTACAAAGCCCCAGAGCACTGGCTTCCTGTGTTTTGACTGACGTTGGAGCCTGGGACTGGCTTTCTATGTCCAGGGAGATGGTTTCCTCAAGAAGCCCTGACACCAACCAGAGTTCCACTCATAGCCCCATTATTGCTCTGGTCTCAGCTTCCACAGTGCTTGGATGTCAGATAGGTCCCCTTTTGCCCTTGTACTGTCCCTGTGGGGTGACCAAGGGATAGCTTCTGTAGGAGGTTGAGTCCTAGGATCTTGGAGTTGAATGTAAATATCAGACAGCATTTTAGTGATTCTCCAGAAGTCTGATGTTTGCTGTAGGTTTTGTCAAAAGACAAAAGGATTACAACAAATTTGGTGAAAAACAGTCATTGGCTTTTATTCATGTTTCTAGAATGGGGCAGCCCTCAGAAGTAGAAGAACTACAAAGAACTCTGAGTCTTCAACATGGGTAGAAAATGGAAGTGAGGTGAAGAGACAGAAGTGAGGTGTGTGGCTTAAGGGGTTTGCCTTGTTTAAGTCAGTTGGCTGCCTATCACTCAGCTGCTGTAACTAATGGAAACTTTGCATTGGGATAAGAGCATAATCCTAAATTCATCAGCTTCATTTAGCATGAATGACTCCATCTTGGATTGTTCCATTGGGCCCATAGGGGGGCCTAAGGCAAACCAGTGGCTTCCCGAAAATTTTATTTCATGGTTTATAGATGTCTTTATCAAGTGAAGGAGTTTCCCTCTTTTTAGAATTTATCATTTGTTTCTGTACTATCTAAATCACAAGTGGAGGTGAAATAGGATATTTTGCTTCTCTTCTGATAAGTACATTTTTCTAGTTAATCTGTTAATTTCCTCAAAGGCAATGGGTGATGTTGAAGTGTTAAACTCTCCTGCATTTTTGGGGAACACGGTCAAGACAGTAATTATGGAACTCATTTTGTGGTATTTTATTTAGGGATTTCTCTCTTTGTTCTGAGATGGACTTACAGTTTTACTTCCTCATTCTTTCCTGGAGTGGCTGTGACAGGAAGAGGCTAAGTCCACATAAAAGAGTTAATGACATTCTTTATTGCTCCTGTCTTCTGGAAGAGCTGCGTATGGTTGGAATGAGTTGGTCTTTGATAACTTTGTGGGCGTTGCTGTTTTGTTTCAGCTGAAGAGACTTCATGCTCCTTTTCCCTGGAGTAAAATGAACATTGTCCTAAATTTCTATACATGTGCACCCATGAAACCATGGCCCACATCAAGACAGAGAACGTTGCTTGCCCCACAGTCACTCTAAGGTCTCTTCCAGCTATAACAACCCAGTGGCCCCTCTGTCTTGACTTCTAGCACCAAAGCCTGTTTGAGCCTCTTTGGGTACTTTATATAAGGAGAACCATTCATTCTTTTCCTTTCTGCTTTTGGCTCCTGGTCATTCAACTCTGTGCACATGAGAGTGACCTGTGTGGCCATGTACAACACTAGCTCAGTCCTTTCCCATGTGTAATAGTCCTTTGAATAAACACAACAGTTTTCTCATTGTGCTGCTAGACACAAGGATTGTTCCATTTTTTGGCTCTTCTAAAAAATTGTAATTAATTTTAGTTTATTAAAATATAGGAAAGCATTCTTAAAAGTAAACATCTAAGGACACTTGAGGAATAAATAATAACATGCAGGTTTTTTTTCTCCTATATAAGGAAGACAGGGAAGCACCTTTGAAAACAAATATCCAAAGAGATGAGAAACAGGGTCCTCAAGGAAAGTAACACAGCAAACTTCTACCAACATAGCAAAAGTTAGAGTAAAGTGTAAACGATGGGCTTCAGGGCCAGACCCTCCTGGAATGTCCAGTTTGGATAAGGATGGGAGTGGCCAGGTGGTTGGGTTCACCAAGGAGTCAACTAAAATGACATCCAATCATAAACTAGTTTCAAGGTAGAATAAGAGGACCGTAGTCAGGAAGAGCCTTATACCATCTCCTAGACTTCAGTCATTCTTTGATTTAGCTCTTTTCACTAAATACTGCCCCCCACAAAGTGTGCTTTGCTATCCTTTCAGTAAACTTTGTGCTTTCTTTACTCTTAACTCCTGATCTGGCATCTTCAATCATTGACTTCGCCAAGACACGAACTTGGGATCAACAATCCCTCCCCCTAGAAAAATCTCCATTTTATATTCATATCCCACCATCATTATCATTTTAGGTCTAGGTTCAACAAATGGACCAAGAACATTTGATATTTGGACTTTTAAGCTTGGCTTATCTCACCCAACATCATAATCTCCATTTCTATCCATTTTCCTGTAAATGACATAATTTCACTTTTCTTTATGGCTGAATAATATTCTCTGATAGATAGATTCCATATTTTCTTTGTCCATTCAACAGTTGTTGGGCACCTCTGCTGATCCCATAGTTTGGCAATTATGAACAGAGCTGTGATAAACATGAGTATGCAGATCTCTCTCTTGTATATTGATTTACACTCCTTTGGATATATGCCCAAGAGTGGTATGGTGGACCATAAAGCACCACTATTTTTAGTTTTCTGAGGAACCTCCATACTGATTTCCATAGTGGTTGCACCTGTTTACATTTCCACCAGCAGTGTATGGGGGTTCCTCCCCAGCCCCCCGCGTCCTCACCAGCACATGTTGGTGCTTGCTCTCTTGATGATTGCCAATCACTGGAGTGGGATGGAATCTTAGTGAGTTTTGATTTGCTGCTCCTTTATGGCCAGGGATGTTGAACATTTCTTCATGGGTTTATTAAGCTATTTGTATTTCTTCCGAGAACTGTCTGTTCAATTCATTTGTCCATTTATTAATTGAATTATTTGTTCTTTTGTTGCTTAGTTATTTTTTAGCTCTTCGTATATTCTAGATATTGATTCTTTCTCTGCTGAATAATTGGTGAGGATTTTTCTCCCATTCTGTGGATTGTCTCTTGATTCCGGTGATTGTGTCTTTTGATGTGCAGAAACTTTTTGATTTGTTGCAATTCCGTCTGTCAGTTCTTGCTCTTATTTCCTGGGCATTTGGAGTCCTACTCAAAAAATAATTACCTATGCCTTTATCTTCCAGAGTTTTCCTGCAGTAGTTTCAAAGTTTCAAGTCTTACATTAAGGTCTTTGATCCATTACAGTTGACTTTTGCACAGGGTGAGATAGGGATCTAGTTTCAGTCTTCTGCACATGTAGATAACCAGTTTTGCCAGCACCATTAATTGAAGAGGATGTCTTTTTGCCATGTGTGCCTTTGGCTCCTTTGTCAAAGATCAGATGACTACTGTAGCTCTGTGATTATATTTCTGGGTCATCTGTTCTGTTCCATTGGTCTTTGTGTCTGTTTTTGTGCCTCTAAAAAATTTGCTTTATTTGTTCGTTTATTTATTTAAGAGACAGCATCTCACCATGTAGCCCAGACTGGCAAGGTGAGGGAGGCACTGAGGGGCACATGGCCTCTGAGAGCAGTGCCAGAGCAGGATGGGCTCAGTGTGTTTATGGAACACAAGATGGGTCAGGTAGGAACTGATTGGTTCTGCAAGGAGCTTGTGGGGTCCTGGTGGCATCTGAGAGACTGCACAGGCCCCAAGAAGCCCCAGCTTGCTGGTATTTTGTCAATGAGCCCTTGTGCTATCATGATTTACACTGAAGGAACGATCTGACCCTCTCCTCCTGACCGGCAAGGTTAGTCTCATGGGCTGCACACAGCCTTCAATATGACCCCACTTGTTGGGGTTTCAGAGCAGGATGGGACAGGCCCCAGTAGGATACTTCAAAGGGATCTTGGTGTGTGGGTCTCCCTGGAGGAGGGGTATCTTATGAACTACAGTCTGCCTGTCTCCCCTGGTCAGCACTCAAGGCCTAGAGCTCTGCCGTCCCAGTAGGAACTTTGACACCTGGTCAGAATTGGATCCCTCAGAACCCCAATCCCTGCCTGCCCTGACAGTACCACTTTCTGCATTCCTGAGTGACCCAGCAGAGATAATGCTATGTGTGGGTCAAACCTAGGTCTCCCCTAACATCCTGAGTCTGGCAGAGAAGGATCTGGAATGTCTGTGAGGGAGGAAGAGGAGACGGAGATGTACTTTCTTCTGGGACTGAATAGGCATCCATCCTGTGATAAGACTAGGAGAAACGAGTCAGAGAAGGACAAGTCCACTTTCATAACTGGGCAAATACACCCTCACTATGGGCCCAGAACTGAGGGCCTCAGGGAGCTGGTTCCAAACAATGGCCAGAGCTTTTCCCACTACCCAGGCAGAGCCCTGAGGCCAGGTTTCCCTGGAACAGAGGATCTGTCTTCACTGTCCCAGAAGGTCCTCCACCTACGGTCTGCTCCAGAGTGACCAACCCTGCCGTCTGCAATGGGACATACAGGACAGTCATTCTGGAATCCAGGGTCAGTACCTCCTGTCATATGGAGAAGCTGGAGCCCCATTCCCTCTCCAGTCCTGGGTACCAGAGATGTTCCTGACATGTCCTTCAGACATGATTTCAGAGACTCAGTTTCTTTTCCTTCCTTTCCCCCCCTTTACCTGCTCTGTGAGGCAAGACCCATCCCTAATGCTCAGTGCAGGGACACTGAGATGACTATGTGCTCTCTGGGGACATATGTGGAGGGAGGGGATGGAGACCTTCAGGAAAGTCACATCTGATCACCACGTGGTCAGGGGCTGAGGCCTGGGGAGTAGAAAGAGGCCTATCTCACTAGCCAGGAACCCCAGGTTTACTCCACAGGCATGGGCATGCTATTCCAGAGATGGTGCCTTCTGGAGTTGTGCATCATGGTGGCCATCTGTGCTCAGCTTCCCCTCACAGGGTCAGGGAAGAACAGAGGCTATTTCCCTACACCTAGTGTTCAAAGGCATGTTCCTAGAGCATTTGGTGACAGTGAAAAAGCAGAAGGAGAGCCTGGAACATGGGGAAGTGAGGGGAGGATTGAGGCCTGGCACTGCACAGATAATTTGAGGTTCCTCTCTTTAGAGATATTGAGTGTGTCCTGGAATCCCCTGTTATGTAGAAGAATGAAGTCCACTCCCTGTGTCAGGACTGAGGGTTTGCTTATACAGGAGGGGAAGGCAGCAGGGCTGATGCAGGCACAGAGGGTGGGTGTGTTTAGGGCTTGGAGTTCACCCCTAGCATGAGTCAGCCTGGCTAGTGTCCCACACCATCAGATGTACCTGCAAGCATCTTTCCAGGAAGAAGGTGGAGCCAAAGGGCAGGAGAGACCTTGTCTTCTTAGTGACTGACTCCCATTGGGTCCCAGCCCAGCTTGCTTCTCTTCCACAGAATATGGTGTCCCAGTCACAGGTGAGAAGGTGCAGCTGAGACCATGAGGAGTGGGACCTGGTGTTGAACAGGACCTTAGCCCAAGATTCCTGACAATGTCAGCTCACGTTTTCTCCATTTATTGACTCTCTCGAGTCATCTATGGACTTCTACCCCCATCCCATTGTCTGTTCAGGCACTGTTGAGTGCCTGACAACTGCCATATCACAGGAAAAAATTCAATGAAGAGTTTAATAATTGGCCTGGGGTTTTAGCTCAAGTGGTGGAGTGCCTGCCTAGCAAGCTCAAACCCCAGTACTGAATTTTAAAAAAGCTTAATAACTGATGGTAAGGACCATGTGTGAGTCATATTTCATGGCCAGCCTGAGGGGTCACTCCTTCTGGAACTGGCAGGTTGGAGACCTTACGCTGATACTCTCCGGAGTCCTCCCTCCTGACGGGGTCTCTGCTGAGGTTGCTGTTGTCCTGAGATGGATTCATCTTCTCTGTGAGCTCCAAGTTCTGGTCATTGAAGATCCACTGAAAGGAGATTCCATTGTCATCTGAGAGGCAGGTCAGGACCACAGATTACTGCTCTGTGACTGTGGTGTTGGTAACTCGGATGGAAGGCTGTGTCACCAGCTCTGTGGACAAACAGGAGGGGAAAGACTAAGAGTGGCCTGAGGCGTGGGCCACTCTTCTTTCTCTGACATCTCAGGAAGCTCTCGGGGCGCACAGTGAGCTGTGGGAGGTGGCAGAGGATGGGCCTGATCCTCTGAGGAGGAGATGACTGTATCTCCCTTTGACCCCAGGTCCCCCCGAAAGACCCCTGACTGTTCCCTTAGATATCTTTGTAGGATCAACATGAGAAATGTCTTCTCAATCCACAATCCAGAAACTCTCTCACGGGGTGGACTTTCTAATTGTTGCTGTTGGTACTGGAGTTTGAATTCAGGGCCTCATACTTGCTAGGCAGGTGCTGTACCACTTGAGTCACTCTGCCAGCCCTTTTTGTGTTGAATATTTTCAAGATAAAGTCTTGCGAACCATTTACTGGGTTGGCTTCAAACCCTAATCCTGATCTCTGCCTCCTGATTAGCTAGGACTTACAGGCCTGAGCCACCGGCACGTGGCTTTTCAGGTGGATTTATTTTCCCATGGACTCTCACGTCCGTTTATTTTTCTAAGAACTTTTGGTATAATCAGGCTCCATTTTTGATGCTATAATAGAGTGGTGCCTGGGACTATTACGTTACAGTTGTAGAGACTGGGAAATCCAAGACTAAGGGGCCACATCTGGTCAGGGCTGCCTTATTGCATTAGAACATGGTGGGAGCATCACAAAATAAAAGAGAACATGAGGGTTTGTGATCATGGTAACTGAGACACTCCATTCACAGGGCAGACCCCTCAGGGTCCACTCACCTTCCGTTGGCCCCACCTCAGATCAGTGTTGCGTTGGGGATTCAGTTCCTAACACTTGCTTATAGAAGGACCCACCATAGCACTGACGCAATAAACAATTAGGTCCCCTTTCCTGGTACATGCTTCCTTGCATGGTGGGGAAGGAGGGATTATCAGCCTCAGCCGGAGGCTCACCTTTTCCATTTCCCTGCACCTGACTCTGAGGAGGGTCTTTGGTGCCTAGATTACATGATTTGTCCTGATCAGGACAGGCCTCCCACCTCAGAGAGAGTCAGAGCATAGTAAATCAGAGGGTCAGTTGTGAACAAAGTCTCTAGCAGAACACCACAGTGTCCCCTGAACAGTGGCAAAACCTTGATTAAATAAGTCACAACCACCAGGCACCAGTGGTTCGTGTCTGTAACCCTCTACAGAGTCCTCTACTCAGGAGGCAGAGATCAGGAGGATTGCAGTTCAAAGCCAGCCCAGGAAAATAGTTTGCCAGACCCTATCTTGAAAATACCCATCACAAAAAAAGGCTGGTGGAGTGGCTCAAGGTGTAGGCCCTGAGTTCAAACCCTACTACTGAAAAAAAAGTCACAACCAATCCCTGGTGTTCACTGAGCCTGAGTCTAAGTCATACCCCATTTCTGCATCACAAGAAGTGACCCCAGCCTCCCCATCTTTGACTGAAGGCTGGGCTGCCCAGATGCGCTGGAGTAGGATAGCATGGCTAGCCTGGGTGCCCAGAGGTGAGAATCTGTGTACTTGGACCTGAAAGAAACTGAGTTGCCTGGCTTGTGGCCCTGTATTTCGGGTGGCAGCCAGGGTCATAGTGAAATGGTTTCAAGATGACTGGGTCACTGTGCCTGGCACCCACTGGATTCCAGTTTCCATGCTCAGAGGAGCACTTTATCATTCCTTGGGACACTGAGTTAAGTGAGAGTCCTATAGTTTGGAGACAGCTGTAGCCTGTCACTGTCTGGAAGGCTGTGACCATTTGACCATCACAGGTAGTTTGAGTCCTGAGTCTCAGGTTGACACATTAATGCTACAGAGTTCTCACCTTCCATGGGGCTGGAGTTGTTGCTTGTGATAAAGGGTTTGGGTAACTCCACTAGGCAGACACCAGAGAGAAGATGGCCCTGTATGGTACCTGGGATCCCTGGAAAGGTCACTTTCTACAATTTGGCCTCTCTCACCTGTCAGTCAAGTTGAGCCCTTAAAGAACCAGGCAGGAGTCTGTCTTACAGTAGATGCCTGAGGACCTGTGCACTCAGAGAACATGGCGCTGCCTGTACTGTGTGGGACAAGCACAGACTATCTCAGGAGTGAACTGTGCTGCCTGAATTGGTCGTGGACACACCCCTGGTGCCTTTCTTGGCCCTCACTGATCCACTGCCTGCTGATGAGGACTGGGTATTTGAGCAAAAATGACAACTGGGAAGACTAGGAGCAAGGCCAGGGGATAGTTGTATACTGAGAACATAGGGCCATAGGGTGAAGCTCTTCTGCCCAGGTGACTGCAACTAATAGGAGACGTGATGTGATCTCCAAAAATGTGGCACATAAATGAAGAAATGACCTAGAGAGAGTGGAGGGGGTCAGGCAGGCAGAACCTGGACCAGTAGAACCATGTTCTCAGTGCATGGTCTTCAATGTCTCTTCTCCACTGCAGAGGGAATGAGAGGACCATGTGACTCTTCACCGAACACACACAGACACATTCAAATCCCAACTGACTGGTGGAAGGTGGGGAACCATGCTAAAACTCTGCCCCTGTCCCCGGACCTCATTTGTTAGGCAGATATGAGATAGAAATTTGAAAATGGGCTGGGTGTGTACCTCAGTGGCAGAGCACTTGCCTAGCATCCACCAGGCCCTGGGTCCCCTCCCAAACACTGCCATGAAAACAAAACAGAACAGACAAATCAGAAATTTGAGGAACAGATAAATTTAGTCCTTATATGGAAAAATATTAATGCCTGAAAATCTGACAAACAACTGGAAGGAATATTTTTCTAGAAAGCAGTGAAAAGTCCCAGGCATGGTCTCAGTCCCTGGGGACAATGGAATGTGTCCCCATGAATGTGCATCCCGGCCTGGTCTGAGGGATTTTGGATCATTCCCTCTCCATCCACTCGCTCCTTACTGCATCCTCCCTCATCAAAGAGTCATGGAGACCTTGTTTCACACTGGGCTCTGTGCAGTGGCAGGCTGAATCATGGAGTGATACCAACATATCAGGAAATAAATGTCAGACTTGAAGTCCAGTGAGGGAGGGCATGGATTGTCTGCTTAAGGGAAATGGGGGTGGGGGGCTGGGGAGGAAGATGTAAATAAAAGAAAATGCTGGAGTTGTGAGAATCAACTAAAGTTCGGCCTTTTCTGTCAAAGGAGTTAGTTAATGTGTAGATGCCAGCTAACCTCCCTGTACTTTGCGAATCGTTGCTTGATCCTGCAAATTTCTTGCAATCAGACAAAGAGCTGTTTACTGCCAGATGCCCTACTCTCAAACTCCTTGATGAGTAAAATGTCAGCCTCTGTCCCCTATCTTCAGGGGACCTCGAGAAATCACTTTCTCACTGAGCTATAAAAATGTCGCTGTGTTGGAAAACCTTTCCCTTACCCAAAATAATAGCTAGCCGCAGTGTGTTGTGAGCCCAAGTGTGGACCAGTCCTTGGGAGGAGTCATGCATCAGGAATATGATCTGGGTGAACTCCCCACCCAGGTGTGTTCTGTCGGACCGTGGTCTGTGGCTGCACCCTTCTGCAGAAGTAAAACGTCTCTTTTTGCCTTGCTGAGCAGCTCCAAGTGTTTCTTTGATCACCGTTTGACAATGGCATTTCTGACAATGTGGGGCCAACTTTGTTGCCATGGGGATCACAGGGACCCCCTTCTTAAAGGAGGATCGTCCTGCTGCCTAGTTGCTGCAGCCTCAGAGTGGGGAGATCTGCCATCCTCAAGGCCAAAAATGAACCCAAGTTTGAGAGTCACTCACCAACTCAGGGAAGGGTCCCTTATAGCAAGCACTGCAGCAGCCAGGGCAACTCTGGGCACTGACCAAGGTAAGGGTATTTCCTTGGTGGCTGGGACATCCCAGAAGCTGGGTGGGTGTGACTGGGACTTAGACAAGTTCTGACTTTGGAGGAAAAGAAAGCACTTTGGATAAAGTGAAAGAAAACTCCAGTACTTGTGGCGGGAGGAGTGAGGTTTGAGCTTTTCCCAGGGAAATAGACACAACCAAGGTTAAGGGATGGGTAACAAAAATTCAGTTCCAAAGAGGGAGACTCACAAAAGAATAGATGCATCACCCACCATTCCATCAAGAGACCTCTAGACATGGTTTAAAAGGTTTTTCTGATTGTGTGTGTGTGTGTGTGTGTGTGTGTGTGTGTGTATGATTTTTGTTTATACCATTGGGCAAAATTTTATTTCTCCTGGAATTCCAGCTCATCTTATGCATGTTTAAATTGACATTTTTTTTCTAGCATGCTTAATTCTGTCTTAAATAAAATCTGGGATTTAATTCTCTTTTATAATATATGGGTCTATTAACAAATGAGCTTTCTATAAATTGTATTTATATATAAAAATAATTTTAAAGTTGCTTTCTTTCTGGTTTTCTCATGCAAATATAAGACTCTAAGTTAAAAGGTTTTATGAGTTATTTTCAACAAGTAACAAAAACAATACATAAAAGGTATTAAGGATATGGTTTTTAAAAATGAAAGGTTAAAGGAAAAAATACTTTTAGATAGAAAAAAAGGATTATGTAAAGAAGGGTTTGTCCTCAAAATTATCTCAAAATGGAAAAAGAAGGGATACGGACAAGCTCCCTCAGGAGGTACAGAATAAGGTGTCATAAGATACAGAGTAAGTTGTCATAAAAAGATGGAGCCTATAAGTGCTTATGTAAGTGATTAAGTTGACTAAAATCTAAGAGCTACATTAAAGGTTTTGTAAGGTCAAAATTTTATGCACTGATGTTAAACTAAAACTTAATTTTCTAATCTCATAACAAACAAGGCTGTCTTAAAAAATATTGTTCTGTTCTTGATAACATTTAAAAAAACTGTCTTAAAGGAAAAGTTTTTGTTTTATCAAGATAACTGTTAGGGATTTTTGGTGCTACAGGTTAATCCAAAGATTTATCAAGACAACAAGAGTTTATTAAAATACAGAGAGGCAAGAGGCAGCTGAGGACGGGGAGTGCTGCTGCACTGATATGAGGGTTGGGTCAGATTTACTTATGCAAATCAAAGTAAAAAAAAAAAAACAAAGTCAAAATCCATGCTCCAGTTAGGATAAGGGAAAAGCCAAAAAGGAGCACTACACTGGAAGTCTTGAGACCTCAAGTTTTTGTTACTGGACTCAACAGAGTGGAGATGTTAGTCCTACTCCTTCCACGTGGCAGGCAGAGGGAATTTTTGGCCTGGTATGATAAGATTGGACCTGTTATTTTAGGGGGACTCCATTGACTACAGGTTGGTGGGAGCCTGCTGTATGTCATGAGCCATCTGTTAATGTCAACAATCTGGGATGTGATCCCTTATCAACATCTGAGCCATGATTCTCAGCCACTAGGTTTCCTAACTCCATACTTAGTCTCCAAGAATATTTACCTGTGTTCTCTGGCGATTTTTGTCAGGGTGTTGACTACTGAGGTAACTGAATCATAACTAAATAAAATTAATTTAAGAGTGGGTTTATGTAAAATCTTTTAGATAACTTCATAATTATGGTTATATAACTATTGTCTTGGGTGATTCTAATGCAGTCGGTACCCTATATGTGTCTGTGACTAGGCTACTTGGGCTCACTGACACTGCCCCACCTTGAAGTGATGGGCAAATCTAAGGTTTTACTTCAACAGTAACAACTAAATTAAAATGTATGTATAACCTCATAGAGCTGTGATGCTGTTGCTGGCTCCTGTATATAAATATATTTGTGTTTTCCAAGTATATCAAGCCTTCTAAAACACTAAGTTTAGATAAACACTGTAGCAAGAAGTTAGTGGTACTGATATACTGCTCTGTTGGTTGCTAAATTGTCCATTAAAATTTTAACCATGGCTCTTTTAAGATTTTTGTCATCACAGTTCTGATCCTCCTGGGGCATTTACAATCCAGTCCATGGAAAATGACTAATAAGTACTTATGTGTCAACCAGGTTAGCTTTTAGAACATAGTCATACCTATTTGTTTTGCTTTATTTTTTATTTTTGTGGTAGGACTGGGGTTTGAACTCAGGGCTTATGTGTTTACAAATCAGGCACTCTACTAACTGAGCCACATCTCCAGCCCCAGGTTAGCTTTTAGACATCTGCTTTTGTTGGATTTTGTTTTGTATTGTCCTTATCTAGAAGCCTCTTTGTTGTTTAAATTTGGCCAAAAAGGTCTAGTTGGTACTGACTCCCACCTGATCTGCTTGTTATTATCCCCTCCCCCTCCATGTGGACCAAAAACAAAAAGATCCAGGAAAAAAACAAATCTTCACAATGGGGACAAAAATGACCTATTGAAAAAGATCCAGGTCTATGGCCATAGCACCCTGAATATACCCTATCTCAGAAGCTAAGCAGGGTTGGGCCTGGTTAGTACTTGGAGGGGAGACAGATCTTCAGAGGAGCCTGCTCAGAGGCAAGCAGTTTGGAGACAAGAGGGGAATGCCATCAAAGTTCCAATGGAGTCTCTGAAGCCAGACCTTTCAAAAATAACCAAAGCTGAGAGGATTGAGGAAGTGGTTTTATGCATGTGTGGCTATCTGGCATTAAAGCCCTTCCAGACACAAACTCATGTTTTTAGCCAGGGTCTTCTACTTAAATAGAGACAAAGTGACTATTTTTACTGGCTCTAGACATGTCCTTTAATACTTAAAGATGATGTTTTAAACTTTTTTTTTAAACAATGGGTTTTTCTTGGACATATACTGATAATGTATTGTTGCCATGGTAATTCTACTCAGTACAAGAAAAACCACAGGTCCAGACATTGAAAAAATGTACTATAGCCAACATGTCCTGCTACAAGTATAAAAAAAATTAAATCTTGACTACTGTCTCTAACCTGATTCCTCCCTCTACTTGCCCCTTGGTCTCTTAATCTGCTTATCAAGTTTGTTTCTTCAAGGTTGGAGACAATCAAGCTCCAGATGGTGATGGAGACAAAGCCACACATGAGGGAAACCTCCTCCTGGTACCATGGACTTTGAGAGACCCCCTTCGACTTCTTGGAAGAGACCCTGGCTGACTGTTCCAGGACCCCTTGAGACAGCATCCCTTTTCCTGATAGAAGTCAGGGTTACCTCTGAGGAGGAGGGAATATAAGGGGACAAATATAAACAAAAATAACAAAAATATCTCTAGAGATGTAAATGTAAAGGGATAAATAACAAAAGTAACTTTGTTATAGATTAAGGAGACAAAAGACACTTAAAAACAAAACATTAGGTGTTTTGACAACCTAATATAGGTGTCAATATAGGTGACAAGACTCAAGAACAGAATGGACTAATGAGGCACTCTTGGAATGTCCAGTCTGATAAGGATGGGGGCAAGTAGATGGTTGGGCTTGACCAGAAGTCAATTGATACTAGCTAAGTTTGAAGAAAAGAACTGTAAATAAAAGGCTGGAATTGTGAGAATCAAATAAAGTTAGGTCTTTTCTGTCAAAGGAGTTAATGTGTGGATGCCAGCCAACTTTCCTGTGCTTTGTGAAACCTTGCTTGACCCAGCAAGGTTCTTGCAGTCAAAAGGCTGTTTACTGCCAGATGCCCTACTCTCAAACTTCTTGATGAGTAAAATGTCAGTCTCTGTCCCCTATCTTCAGGGGACCTCGAGAAATCACTTTCTCACTGACCTATAAAAATGTCAGTACGTTGGAAAACCTTTCCCTTACCCCCAAATAATAGCTAGCCGCAGTGTGTTGTGAGCCCAAGTGTGGACCAGTCCTTGGGAGGAGTTGTGCTCAGGAATATGATCTGGGTGAACTCCCCACCCAGGTGTGTTCTATCGGACTGTGGTCTGTAGCTGTACCCTTCTGCAGAAGTAAAACTTTTCTTTTTGCCTTGCTGAGCGACTCCCAAGTGTTACTTTGATCACTGTTTGTGAACGGCATTTCTAACACTGGACTCAATGTTCAAATCCCAACCAGGGGACATAATGCATGGGGAGGGGAAATAGGCACAGTCCAGGCCTGGCAGACTTGTGCATGTGAAGTGGAATTAACCCCATCCAGCACTCAGAGGTCACAGAGAATCACTTGCCATACACAAGGAGCTGCACAGATGCTTCTTTAGCCTGAAGATGTCTGGTTATGATTGCAAGGCTTTAGAATCCTGTGTTGTTCTGGATGACATTCTAGAGCCATAGGAATCCATTGGGACATATTGTCTCTTTACTGCTGTATGCAGGGCCTGGTTTTCTTTTTTGAATGGTTATTACAAGTGCTGCAATTCTAAGAGATTCAACTGCCTCTTTGCCTTTGAACCAACGATAGCCATAAAGGTTCTCTGACAGATTGTGCACACGTAGAAGAACGTCACTGCCTTCAGCAGCATTGACTAGCACCGATTCAATGGTGAGTGGGTAGTGTTGGGCAGGTTCCAGAGGAGAGAGAATTTTTCAATGTTGTGTTGGATGGAAATTTGGACCCTGGATCCTGAGGACGTGTCTGCAACCCTCAGCCTTGGCGTGTGTGTGTGTGTGTGTGTGTGTGTGTGTGTGTATGAATATGTGTGTGTGCACGCATGTTGGTGTCTCCTGTTGAGTTGAGGTCAGCAGCATGATCTCTGCTGACCTCATTCCTTCACTGCCCCTGAACTCGTCACTTCCTCTGTGTGGCGCACTCTTTCCCAGTGTCTGCATGGCTCACCCCTCACTGCATTCACATCCTTGTTCACACTTAGGGCACCCTGGGGAGACGCCTTCCTTGACCCCCTCTTTTGGAGGCCCTGGGTCTTCACTTTCTCACCTCTCCCTGCTCTGTCCCTGTGGCTCTTGTCTCTCCCTGACCTCACCTTCTGGATGTCCTTGCTGTGCTGTGCTCCTGCCACTAGAAGGAGAGCTGTGTGAGGACAGGGCCTGCTCTGATCTTTGTTGCAGCCCAGTGCCTGGAACAGGCTCAGGTTCCTGTGGGTGAGGAACTAGCGTTCCCAGGGCCTCAGGAACAGTGGTATGTCAGTTTTGAAGGTGGTAACTAAGTGGTAACTAAGGACGTATTTAATGTATCGATTGTATATTTTTTGGTGAGACACAGTTGACATACTTGTTCACATTAATTTTAAAATTACAGTGGCCAGTGATGGTCAACTTGGAAAGGCTTTTCTTCCCCTTCTTTCTAATTCCTGTTCACTAAGAGTTTCCTGTGCCTGAGCCTGTGTCACTCTTTGTGTCCTCTCCTCTCAGGCTCCAAACAGAGCCCTATGTTCCCTCTCAGGATCTTATCTTCCCAGGAGACCCCATCTAGTCTCTGTGCTCCCCTCCTCCTGCACACACACAAGGAATCGTCCCCTTACCTGAGAGCAGGACCCCTGCCAGGTGTCGCCCATTCTGCTGGGAGGAGCTGAGGGGGTCTCCATGGTGTCTGCTGCCTGCTCTGTCCTCTCTCTGTGGAGCAGAGCTTCAGCTCCAGATCCTCTCCTAAGCAGGGCTGCTCTGGGAGTCACTCTGTTGTCCTTCCTCGCTCTGAGCTGAGCCTCCACCAGGGCAAGAGCTCTTCCCAGTGTCACATGGGCTGGGGTGGAGTCTGTGTCCAGTATACTTGTCTGTCCCCTCCCCTCTCAGTCCTGATTCTGTCCCTGTTCCTTTCTTTGGGTTAGGTTTCAGTTCCCAGACCACACCATGAGAAGGAAGGCTTCCACCAGGGAGCTCTTCCACCTTCTGAGTTATGGTAACATTTATTTTTGTTTATTTTCACCTTCTGAGACAAAGGCATGAGGGATGCATTTCCACTTCCCTGACTGTGAGGGAGAGTGGCGCACCCACATTTGGTGACAATGGACACCGTCATTGCAGAGGGTGGAGTGTTTGTGAATTACAAGTGATGGTGTTTGAGGTTTGCTCACCTACCCATGCCCAGATGGTGGAGCCTTACATCTGGGTAGCTGTGTGGGTCCGGTGTTGCCCACAGGTAAAAGAGGCGATGAGAAGGAAATGTTCACTGGACGTCGTGAGGTTTCTTTTCATCTCCTTGTCTGATAGCCATGCACAGTCCACTTGAGCAGTGAAGAAGGAGGCTGAACATGATCTGCTGCTTGTTTATTCCACCCCAAGTTTCTTTTCATTCCCTTTAAATCTGGCCATGGCCGTGAGTCATCACCTCTGTGAGCACCATCCCTGCAGATGCTCAGGGGAATCTTGGGACCAGTTGGCAACTGACTAGGACAGGATAAGGTACAGAGGGTGGGGAGTCATTAGCACCTGAGGGAGCGGGTGGCTTCAGTATTTGACTTTGAGGCAGGCAGAAGGGTAAGTTTGAGCTACTGGGCAGGGAGCACAGGCTACTGAAACAGAGGCTGGAACCTGCCTTTCTGGAGAAAGAACATCAAGGAGGTCATCCTGTTGCAGCGGGGCTGGGGAAGAACTTGGCCTGGGGTTGACCTTGGAGGGCTGGATGGTGAGAAGAGATGTGTTTGTGTCTATCTCCATCAGAGGCTTGGGGAGGGGAGGACTCAGAGTGCCTTCAAGTTGGGTGATGTGGTCATTAAAAAGGTCAGGCACTGAGTCAGATGCCCGTGGCTCATGCCTGTAATACTAGCTATGCAGGAGGCAGAGATCAGGAGGACTGTGGTTTGAAGCCAGGCTGGGCAAATAGTTCATGAGCTCTATCTTGAAAAATCCCATCACAAAAAGAAAAAGAAAAAGAAAAAAAAAGGTCAGGCACTGAGGCAAGAAATTAATCATGAAAAGATTCCTACATTTTTAGGGGAAAATATTGTCCTGAATCTCAAGGGACTGATTGATTGACTGATATGGTCCTCCTGATAATCAAACAGGGAGTTGCCTATGGTAGGCAAAAGCTCTGCCACTGAGCCACACACCCATCCCTTACTCTCAGGAACAGAAACACTCACTGTGAGTTAGAGCTTGCTCTCAGTCTCCCCAGTGCCACACTCAGGGGTGCAGTCATGTGACAAGCACAAGAGGTGGTAAACATGCAATGACCCTAAGGTCCCTCAATCTGCAGAGGACTCATAAAACAGAAATTAGTGGAGAATCAATCTGCAAAACTGCCCTCACTCCCTCTTTCCCACACCTCTCTCTCACTGCCTTCCACTGTCTCCTCCTTGCTGCAGAGCCTGGGAACCAGTGGTCCCGAGACACTGTCCATGGTGCTGATGATCAGGAAGGGAAGGTAAACAGTGACTTTTCTGTTCTTTAGTGCCTAACAGCTGAACACCACCACGAAGCCAAGGAGTGCCATGTGCTCCTGCATTCCTCAGAGGAGCTGGAAGGTGCAGTGGACGTCACTGTAGGGATGATACCAAGAAGGGCGACTCAGTGAAAAGATGACAAAATGGCCTTGGGAAGGGCAGTACACAGAACAAGTTCCTTTAAGGATGTCCACAACCTCATCCTCAGAGCCTTAGAATATGTGACATGGAAAAGGCACTCTATAGATTACAGAAGGATCACAAAACTGGCAGGTTCTGTGATTTATGCAGCTGATGAGATGTGAGTGATCACAAGGTCCTTTTCTTACAATGAGAGAGGAGGCAGGAGAGTTGAGGAGGAGCAGGAGGTGTGAGAAGGGTTCAGAGCAGAGAGGGGCTCCAAGACGCCATACTGTTGGCTTCAAAGTAAAAGAAGGATTCACAGCCCCAGAAACCAGGCAGCTGCTCGTCTGTGAGGAAACAGGCTGTCTGCTGGCCACCAGATAAACATAGCCAAGTGGACATGTTAATTTCTGTTGTTGTTGTTGTTTTAATGCCATCGTGCTTGAGGCAATTTATCACAGCTTCAATAGGCAAAGAAGGAAGGAGGAGTCTCCTGGCCTAAGCTAGACTCTGTGCATGTAGAATAAGGAGTAACGGTGACCAGATCACTGCATAAAACCCTGGGGTTGTTTTCCTGCTTTTCATCCCAGGACAACCACACTCAGGCATTAACAGAACATCCTCAGAGCTCTAGTGCAGGGAGAGCTGTCTGTGGGATGTGGTGCTTGATCCAAGTGAGGAGATGTGAAGCCATCAGAGAAGGACTTGGAGCAGAGGCCCAGGTGTGTGGAGGAGACTGCAGGTGGACATCCTGTGGCCAGGTCAAGAAGAGACACATTGTACCACCACCATGGAGCCTGGAAAAGTCACCCAGTGAGCTCTGCCCTGGGTGCTTAAGTGTGGAGAAGAGACTGGGCCCAGTGAGGCCCAGTCAAGCAAAAAGTGGAAAAAGATGGGGAGTACAGGGCCAAGATTCCAGGCAGTGTCTGGAAGACATTGTTGGGGATCTGAGCCTGGGTCTGTCCCATGCTGGTTACTCTGCCGACCACTCTCTGTGTCCCCACACAGATGAAGATGTCCTGGAGATTTGCCTTTTGGGCAGAGGAGACACACAGTGGCCATGACAGGCCACTCTGAGTCTTTGGATGGTGGGGACCCCTGAGCACTCTGCTGGTTACAGGGCTCTTGGGAATCTCACCCCTCCCTGTGCAGGGACCCCGGCTTTAACCCTGGCTTCTACCTCTTCTGTATCATAGGAATACAGAGCTTGTGGTAACAACATGCAAATATTCCCCTTGTTAAGGGTAATCCCCAGGAGAGATTCACAATTTCATGTGAATTTCGGCTCAGAGAAGCTCCCATAAGAACAAAAGGAGCCAGTGAAGGAAAGGGACTCTATTTCATCAGCTTTCCAGGTGACAACTAGTGTGCTCCATTCACTTTCCCTGGAATCTCCCCTGTTTATGTCAGACAGGGAAGATTGATCTGTCCTGTCCAGAGCCCCAGTCAGCCTGTTTGGATCTCTAGAAACCCAGGATAGGGCTCCCTCCCCAAGTCAGGGCTCAGAGCCCATCTCTGGCCCACAAGCCAGAATCTGAAGGTTTAGAGAGACTCTCCCTGACCCATAAGCAGAAGTTTCTAGAGGAAACTAAGAAGTCACGTGTGCTTTGTGGTCTGGCCATAAACATTCATGTCATGTTTTAGTAATTCCTGTAAAATGAATGAAGAGGTCACTGAGCCCTGTGTCCTTCTCAGAGAAGGGTCCAAGTCTCCCAGGCCTTGTCCATCCCAAGCTGCTCTCTGCCCTGGCTGGACTGAGCTCAGGGCTCCAGTCCCAAGGTCCCTCATCCTCTGCTCACCACCTCCTCATCCCCTTTTTACTGCTGATTCTTGAATCTCAAAGCTCAGCCAGGTGTGGGGTGGGAGCAGGTCTGAATGCTTTCGGGCCAGTGTCACCAGAGCCTTGTCTCCCACACTTACCTCATAAATGGGAACAGCTGCCCTTGGTCCAGGAAGAGGGGCCTGCGGCAGAGGGAGAAGAGAGAACAGATGGCAGGGGACTGGGAAGGAGGGCCAACCAGGCTTAGGTTTCAGTGAGCAAATGCCAGGCAAAGCCTAGAAGGTTCTGGTCTCTGACAGGCAGAGCTTACATCCTTGATTCTACTTCCCCATTTCCCCTCAGGAGTGAACAGCTGTACCTCCTGGGGTGGAGTATGCACCAAACTCCATATCCTGTTGTGGCTGCACCCACTCTGCACACTCCATGTCCCAGTATACTTGTTTGATCCTCCTAGAAACCACTGTGCATCTGCAGGACTCCAGGGGTCCACTCTGATTGTCAGAGAGACACAGATTGGGTCAGGATTGGTAAGGGTGGTCCTGCCCCTGCATAAACGCTCATTCCTGGTCATGACTGGGATAACACTGTCCTGATATGGGGGGAGTGGACCTGTACTGCAGTGGGGGTGACAGCATCCTGGCCTGAGCCTGCACAGCTGGTGCCCCCCGTTTCTGAAAGGGGAGGGTAAAGGCTTACCAAAGAAGTGGAGCTGTCCAAGTGTCCTCGACCTAGGGATACAGACAGGAGTTAGCAAGAGGGTGTGAGGAAGTCTGGGCCCTTCCTAAAGGTGGACTGCGGGAGGTCCTCTGATTTCACAGAGCATTTTCTGGGAGACGATCGCCAAGATTTTAAGACCAAATGACCACTGAGGTTGAGGAGGTGACCATAACTAGATCCCATGTGTCTGTGCTGACCTGGAGTTTGGGGTCCACTGCACCTAGTGTTTTCTGAGAAGCTCTGTGAAGCCCCAGGAAAAGGGTCAGATCCCAGAGGGGTGACTGGCAGGATAGACAAGTGTGGGGGCTCCAGCCACACGTGGGGTCAAGGGGCACTCACCTGGAGTGGATGCTGGGAGCTTGTGGTCTCTGAAGTCATGTAGATGGTTGGCCCTAGAAAAGCTCAGGTTGTTAATGAGGGAGCAGGGAGAGGTTGGAGGTTTGGGAGCAGACATGGGATGAGGAGGGGACCCCATTTCAAAGATTATGTGGACACCTCCTCTCTCCATCACTTCTGTGGTAAGAGCAGGGGACCCAGTAGAGGGGAACTGAGCAAAGACTTTCAGAATCCATTTCCATCTTGGAATAGAGGGGAAGGTCCCTCAGGCAGATGCAGACCCAGGACACACTGACACAGGACCCAGGAAAGGACCTGAGGGCCCAGGAAAGGAGGCAACTTGAGGGTTTGACTTAGTGGAAGGGTCCAGGCCTGGGAGGGAAAGCAGGGCCAGCTGTGTGGGCAGGACCCTGGGGGAGCTGCATGCATTGCGATTGTCCCTGTACTGCTTAAGTCAGGAGTTGCTGAAATGTGTCAGTGGCTTTGTCTTCTCTTCCATCTGCCTTGGCAGGAGACAGGACATTCAGGACCCACTGTCCTAGCTGGGCCCTGGCAGTCCCATCTCACCTATCAGGGGTTGTGGCACAGCAGCAATGTGGGGTGCTGACCCCACCCAGCCTGTCCAGGTTCTTCCACTCTAACTGTGTGACCTTAGCCAAGACCACCCCTCAGACCTAAGATGTGACCCCTCCCTGGGAGGTGGGTGAATACAAAGGGAAGAGATGTTTGCTGATTGAGCATGGACTCCTCAGGTAGCACTTCAGGCTTGCTGTGTGAGAGACTAGGACAAATCTCACCTGGGTTCCTAGTTGTGCCATTTACAGAGGAGGAAGCAGTTGAGGAAGCAGCCCAGGGTCAGCAGCTGGTTAAGGAGGAGCGAGTAGAACAGGGACAAGCATCCATGGGAGGTTGGGGGACTCAAGAATGGGGTCTCCCTCCTGCCTAGTCAGCCTAGGGTGGGATCACGTGGAGAGAAGCCTCAGTACCTGCCAGTCCTTCTGAGGAGCAGGAAATGGGCCAATGTGGCCACAAGAACCACACTGACTAGGACTCTTGTCATGATGCCTGCAATGACCCCCACACAGAGGCCTGGGTGGTTTCCTTCTGCTAAAAGGAGAAGAGAAAGAGAAGAACTGTGTTCCAGGGAAATAACAAGGGGCCTTGCAGGGAGGGGACCAGAAACAATGACACTGGAGGTGTGAAAGTGGTTTGTTGTGTTGTCATCTCCACGTCCTCTGAGTCTGCCTCTGCCAGCAGTTGTTTCATTTCCTTTGTTGAAACCCTGACTTGCTCTAACTCTCATATTTCCCCACCTGCAGGCTGTGCCAGGCTCTGTCATGTTCCTGTTAGTGCCTCTTCCTCTGCTTCCTCTTGTCCCTCCAATGACTGTCTTGGAGGGCAGGTCCTGACCAGTCAGCAAAGGCTCATTAGTGATAATGGTGGTGACTGCCTGCTCTCAGGGCCCTCTGTGTGGAGGAAGTCACTTTTCCTACATCTCACCTCATCCTTCTGTCCCCGTGAGGGGCAGCAGATGTCACTCCATTCTGCAGATTTAGGATCATTGTGCTTAAATAACCCATGAAGGTCACAGAACAGGTCAGTGATACAGCAACATGCTCACCCAAGTCTGCCTGACTCACCAGCTAACAACCAAGTTCATGGAAGTGTTACCAGCGATTGCATTGCCTGAGCCGTGACCCTGTAGGCCCTGTGATGAGGACTTTAATGCCATAGATCTAATAAATGTCCTCATGACAACTTTAAGATCCAGGCTTGTGTTATCGTTTTACAGATGAGTAAACTGAGGATCAGGGGTTTGAGTGTGACCTGGATCTGGCTGCTTTCTCAGAAGTGTCCTCCAGTGCTAGGCGCCCACAGAGAGGTGTAAGGTGGGCAGTGGATGGATTTACCTTTTGTAAGGTTGGGCATCTTTGAGTAGGTGATGATCTGTAAGGCAGACTGTACCTCCCTCTGTCTCTAGATCACCCAGTGTGACTACGGACTCCTCCCTTGGATGTCTCTGTAGGATCCACATGGGGAATCTCTTTTCAGTCTATGGGTCCCACATTCTCATCAGGTGGAATTTTCCCCATGTGTTCACATGTCTTCATTTTCTAGAACTTTTATGATTGTCTGCATTCATTCTGTGTTGCTATAACAGAACACCATGTGACTGGATAATTTATTAAGAACAGGTTTTTTTTTTTTTTTTGCTCACAGTTCTGGAGGTTGGGAAGTCTGAGACCAAGGGCTACATCTCCTGAGGGCCTCTTGCTGCATCACAGATTGGGATGAGGAGAGCTCTCCATGAGGAGAGCGTGTGTGAGAGAGAGGAGGGAAGGGGAGAACCTCATCCCTTCGTGATGAACCTACACGCTCGCTAACTGGCCCACTCCTGGGTCAGCAGCAGGGCTCCATTCATGAGGGCAGAGCCCTGAGCACCTATTCACTTTCCACTGGGTGCCATCTTTGATCCCTGTTGTGTTGGGAATTCTATTTTCACCACATGTTTTTGGGGTTGCTCTGTAAAAGATTAGACTCTCATCTCTAGTATATGTTCCTGTGTAAGTTGGAATTATCAGCCCCGACTCAGGTAAGGGAAGGATAACATGAAATACGAATGCATGTGCTTCCTTGTAAGTAATTTATTAGAGAACAAAGATGGCCCACCCAGTCACCATGACATTAAGAGTTATTGAGGGCCAAACGTAAAGAATTTCTTAATTAACAAGGAAATAGAACCGGGCAGTGGTGACTCATGCCTGTGATCCTAGCAACTCAGGATGCAGAGATCAGGAAGATTGAGGTTTGAAGCCAGCCAGGACAAATAGTTTAGGAGTCCCTATCTCGAACCCCCCCCCCCAGTTCAAACTCCAGTATCATCATAAAAATAAAACAAAACAACAAGGAAATAGACCTCCTGGCTCACCAAGAGACTATCATAATGAATGAAGTCTGTAGAGAGGGGTGGACACAGTGCTGACAATGGCTGGTCGTCTCACCTTCTCTCACATATTCACCTCGGCACTGCCCTTCCCTCCTACACATGGACCCCAGGGTATAGCTCTCTGTTCTCCAAGCGAGCGTCCCTCAGGCCTCTGTGTGGTGTATCACACATGCTGGTGTCCAGAGCGCTATCAGCTGGGACCTCAGAGTCAGGGAACAGCTCAGAGGCATTGGGTCTGAAATTCAGTTTCCTCATTTCCCTACAGCTGAGCTGGGGTGGAGGGAGTCCAGCATTGATTGGCCTTAAAAGTTAACCACACTCACAAAAGATTCTTAGGGTTTCTTTCCACTCCAACTCCCCCACCTCACTTGGAGTCACAGCAGAGCCCCTCACAAGGTGGGACAGGAGCAGAGCTCTGAGCAGCTCACCCCACACCTGATGGGGTTTCCTCCTCTTATTTGGGGAAAAGCAGTCTGAGCATGTTTCAAAGCCCTGGGTATTAGTTGTAGATGATGAAGGAGGCAAAAGAAAACAGAGTTGATGGAGTGGGATGGGTTAATAATAGAAGGAAGGTATTTGACCTTATAGACCCTCCACTCTTCTCCTGGGAAGGCTTCAAACCTGGTACTGGGGGCTCTGTGGGCCTGGAAAATCTTGCTCCTCACCTTTTCAGGCTGAAGCCCTAGGTCAGCCATAAGAAATGAGATAATCAAGAGGAGAGAGGCTCTCAGAGATGGAGCTGGAGACTCAGGAAAGGACCGGAATTTGCTAGTGATTGTGGATACAAGCTGGGGTGAACTTCTTCCTGCTCTTTCCAGAAAACCCAGGGCACCACCCCAGAACTTGGCGCTCATGTTTCCAGGATGCACTTTTCAAAGACTGGAATATTATTGACTGTGGTCCTACTGAGGCCAGTGACAGAGTTATGGACAAGGTGGGTGTAGGATCCACCATTATTTGCAGTGACATTGGGGATAAAGAGCTCTTGTGTGGATGACTGGGGCCTCCCATTGAAAAACTGTGCAGCTGGGTTAGAAGCTGCATGGCAGGAAAGGCTGAGGTTTGCCCCTGGATGGAAATATGAGACTGCAGGGGATATGGTGGGGGTATCCAGGCCATCAAGAACAAACAGAATAAAGTCACCTGTGATGTCAACAGAGGAAAGATTCTGCCTTGAAGAAGACCCTGAGTGATAAACAAATTTGTTTTTAAAAAGTCCCAACCAGGGCTAGTAATGTAGCTTCAGTGACAGAGCACTTGCCTAGCATGCACAAGGCCCTGGGTTCCATCCTCAGCACAACACACACTTTATTATTTATTATATTTTTTTATTTTTATTTTATTCATATGTGCATACAATGTTTGGGTCATTTCTCCCCCCTTCCCTCCTCCACCTCCCTTACACCCCCCCACCCCCTTTCTCTCCCCCTCTACCCCTCGCTGCCTGGCAGAAACTATTTTGCCCTTATCTCTAATTTTGTTGAAGAGAGAGTATAAGCAATAATAGGAAGGACCAAGGGTTTTTGCTAGTTGAGATAAGGATAGCTATACAGGGAGTTGACTCACATTAATTTCCTGTGCGTGTGTGTTACCTTCTAAGTTAATTCTTCTTGAACTAACCTTTTCTCTAGTTCCTGGTCCTCCTCTCCTATTGGCCTCAGTTGCCCCAAAGTATCTGCTTTAGTTTCTCTGTGTTGAGGGCAAAAAATGCCAACTAGTTTCTTAGGTGTCTTACCTACCCTCCTACCTCCCTTGTGTGCTCTCGCCTCATCATGACAACACACACTTTAAAACATCCCAACTACACTCTCCTCTGTTCACTGAGACTGAGTATGACCCAAGTCTTGTTTCTCCACCACAGGAGGTGACCCCATCCTCTCCAGACAGGAGCAGCCCCTTCCCCCATCAATTGCTCAAGGCTGGGCTGCCGAGATGTACCTGGGACAGGTTAGCATGGCCTGCCTGGATGCCCAGGGATGAGGGACTGTGTACTGGGACCTGAGAGGGACTGAGTGGCCTCATCTCTGACCCTGTGTATTGGGCCTGACAGCCAGGGCCATGGGGGAATAGAGTTAATCACAGAGAACATTCAGGGTGACAGGGTCACTTTGGTTGATGCTCACTGGGTTCCAGGTTCCACACTCATAGTTTCCAGTGTCATTCCTTGTGACTCTGGGTAAAGTGAGTGTTCTGTTGCACTTGGACAGCTCCAGCCTGTCCCTGTCTGGAAGGCTGTGACCATTTATCCACCACAGGTAGGTTGTGTCGGGAGTCTCAGGCTCACATGTTAATGCTACAGAGTCCTCGTCTTCACCCGGGTTGTAGTTGGTGCTTGTGATGAAGGGTTTGGGTAATTTCGCTGTGCAGTCATCAGAGAGAAGACAGCCCTGTGTTCCCTGCAGAAGTCTCTTAGCTTCAAGTCTCCCTCTCTTACTCTTCCCAACAAACCTGAGTCCTTAAGGAGCCAGGCAGGAGTGCATCTCACAGCAGATGCCTGAGGACCTGAGCACTCAGAATACGTGGGGCCACCTGAGCTTATGTGGAAAAGCGCTGGCTTTCTCATGTGTGAACATAGCCTAAGCCTTTGAGCATGGACAGGCCCAGGACCTGGAGTCAGAGCCCCTCAGTGCTTCCCCTCATCCTCACTGACCTACTGCTTCCCTGGCCTCAGGACCTGTGGGTTCTCAGTCCCTTCAGCTGCACAGACTTCCCCTGCTCACCTTGGGTATGACCTCTGACTCTGCTTTTCAAGGCTGTCCTAGAGAAGGGTCCTGATGGACTATCCATTGTGCTTAAACTTCTAGGAGCCAACATGGCTTGGCCGGAGGACCAAGTGTGTTGGTAGACGTCATGCAAAAGCAAATCAGGAGCAAGCCTGGTATTTGGCTTCAAGGATAGGTTGGAACCGCAAAATTGGACAATTCTGCTCAGATGTTTGATGGTCACCATCATGAGCCAGGGACCCAAAAATACAGTGATTCCAAAGAATGATCTAGGAAAGAGTGAGGGCCACAGACAGGCTTTAGAGCAGGACTACCTTCTTGTCCTTAGGCTTTAGTGTCCCTTCTCCCTCTGCAGAGGACAGATAAGGACCCTGTGTCTCTCCTGCAAAGCTTGTGGAGGTTTTCAAGTGCAGAAGAGCAGACTGGCAGAAGGCAGGGAGAATGAACTTGCTGCACTTCAGGCTCTTGTGGCCATGCATGTCTGAAAGATCTGAGATGGGAATTGTGACACTGGGCAAATTGTATTAATTGTGTTAATATCCAGATCTAAGACCAATTCTTGAAGGGACTATTTCTGTAGAGCATGACAATGTCTTAGTCTGAGCTCTGAAGTCCTGCAGGTCACATTGTGATGTGAGTCTCCTGGGACAAAGGGTTAGAGGAGAAGTCTGAGATGCACTAGTATATAAAGGAGGAATCATACCAAACTCATTGTGTTATACATCACGTGAGTAATTTAGACGTCTATGTCCCCAGCTGCTATGGAGTCTCAGGTAAGGCGGGGGAGGAACCCAACACAGATGTGTGAAATGTTTTCTCGATTTCTTTTGGCTACAAATCTCAACTACAGTTTTTTCAAGTTCTTCCAAATGAGGCAGAGTCTCATTGAAATGATCAGTGGGTGGAGCGTCTGGACCTTGTAAAGGACCCACCTGTGACAATGGTGTCACTAGGGGACACAGGTGGGTGTGAGATATTCAGTGAGCCCATCAGACGGCACCGTCTGGCCAGCTGCCCCTTGGGGAAGCTCCCAGGACCACTGGAGGATCCTGAGTGCCACAGTGGAACCAGGGTGGACAGAGTGAGAGGGGTGGAGGAGGCTGGGGCTTTAGGGCGTGCAGTCCTGTCCTCTCTCTGACCCCCTGGTTGAGTCAGTGCAGAGAGTGGACAGGGATGTTGCTTGTCTTGGTTGTGGGCTGTTTCACATATCAGCGTCATGGAAGAAAGCAGTGCTAGTCAGGGACCCAGTGGAGGCTACTGCAGAGTGGGGGACATTGTCTTGTGATAGGCACAGGGGACAGCTACTTGAACTGATTCCTGTGCCCAGGAGGGTGGCCTGGCCCCAGGGTTTAGCAGGAAGGGAACAGGAAGGTCAGCATTAGTCGGGGAAGGTAAGGAAGAGGCAAGCCGGGCAGCAGGGGCAAAGCTTGTGGAAGTTTTCAAGTGCAGAAGAGCAGACTGGCAGAAGGCAGGGAGAATGAACTTGCTGCACTTCAGGCTCTTGTGGCCATGCGTGTCTGAAAGATCTGAGATGGGAATTTGTGACACTGGGCAAATTGTAATAATTGTGTTAATATCCAGATCTAAGACCAATTCTTGAAGGGACTATTTCTGTACAGAGCATGGCAATGTCTTAGTCTGAGCTCTGAGGTTCTGCAGGTCACATTTGTCCTACATGGGTCAGAGGAGAAGTCTGAGGTGCTGAGCCTCAGGAGAGAGAGATGCCCAGATGCCCTTGCTTAGATGTGGCTCACGGGGCAGTGCACTGACTGGTGACCAGTTACCAGAGCCATGAGAGCACACAGGCAGGAAATCACCATTTCTCATCAGCCCAAATAGGAGGCCAAGGTTTTCTCGGGTCGTCTGGAGTCATAAACCTGAGACAGGGGCCAAGGACAGAGACTTCCCAGGATAGAGTTTGTCTGTGAAAATCCCAGGGAGGCCTTCGGGTCCCCCTCTCAGTTCTATGATGTCTTGCAGGGGTGTGGCCCTGGGGACCGATTACCCCGTCAGTTTATTGTTTCTCTATCAGTCACAAGAATGATGGTTATCTTTTGATGTTTGTCTAATTACTATGTTCTAATCAAACCTAATGTGAGGGCACAGTGCAGAAGGGGAGGTGTCACAGTGCAGGCCTGGCACACCTGAAGTGGAATAACCCCACCCAACACCCAGTGAGCAGAGAATCACTCGCTGAACACATGGAGCTCCACAAAGACGTCTTCATAATTAAAATCCTTACTTACAGTTTGTAGGATGTAGAATCCCGTGTCATACTGGGTGACTTTCTGGAACAGCAGGGATCCATTGGGGTATATTGTCTGTCTACCGCTGTATGCATGCTCTGGTTTAGTGTGTATTGAGCAGCTATCACATAAAGTGCAATTTGATGGTTACACATCACCTCTTCACTTTTGTACCAGTAATATGCTTGAAGGTTCTGACAGGTTGCGCACACGTAGGAAAATGTCACTGCCTTCAGCAGCATTGGCTGGCACTGATTCAATGGTGAGTTGGGCAGTGGTGGACAGGTTCCAGAAGGTAAAAAGTGAGACTAGGAGGGAGGAGAGAGAAATCATTAATATTGTGACCTTCAGGATAGATAGAAAGATAGAACGCTGAGCCCTGATCAGTTGTCTGTACCCGCATTCCTTGGTGTGTGTGTGTGTGTGTGTGTGTGATATTTGTGTGGTGCATGAGTGTCTCCTAGGGTACAGGTCAGCAGCGTGACCGCCATTCCTTCACTGACCCTGAACTCATCACTTCCTTTGTGTGGAACACCCTTCCCAGGTGTCTGCACGGCTTGCTCCGCGCTGCCCTCACATCCCTGCTCACACTCAGAGTGTCCTGGTGAACTCCTTCCCTGACCTTCTCCTCTGGAGACCCTTTCTCACCTCTCTCTGTGCTCTTCTCTCTGTGGCTCTTGTCACTCCCTGACCTCACCTTCTAGATGTCCTTGCTTCTCTGTCTTGCTGCCCACTAGAACAAGAGCTCTGTGGGGACAGGGATGGGTCTGATCTTTGTTGTAGTCCAGTGCCTGGAACTGGCTCAGGTAACTGTGGATGAATGAACCAGTGCTCTCAGAGCCATGGATGAACAAATATCTGACAATTTGAAGTACTAACTAGGACATATTTAATGTATGTTAGATTTTTGTTTGGTGAGATACCTTACATAGTTCATCATATTAATTGTTGAAATACAGTGGCCAGTGGTGATCAACTTGGAATAGCTTTTCCTCCCCTCTTTTCCAATTTCTGTTCACTAGAGTTTTTGTGACTGAGCCTGTGTCACTCTTTGTGTCCTCTCCCCTCAGGCTCCAAACAGAAGGCATAGGTCCCCTCCCAGGATCTTATCTTCCCCCAGGAGACCCCCAGCCAGTCTCTATGCTTCCTTTCTCCTGCACACTCCCAGAGAGGTCTCCCCCTCACCTGAGAGCAGGACCTCCTGCCAGGGGACACCCATTCTGCTGGGAGGGGCTGACAGGGTCTCCGTGGTCTTTGCTTCCGGCTCTGTCCTCCCTCTGTGTAACAGAGTTTCTGCTCTAGACCCGCTCCCAAGCAGGGCTGCTTCAGGGTCAGCTCTGCTCTCCTTCCTGCCTCTGATCTGACCCAAGGCAAAAGCTCTTCCCAGGGTCACATGGTAGAGACTACGTCCAGGACACCTGTCTGTTCCCTCCTCTCTCAATCCTGCCTCCTGCCTTCTTCCCCTTTCTTTGGGTTAGGTTTCAGTCCCCAGACCTCACCATGTGAAGAAAGGCTGAAGGGGGGAGTTAATTATGGCTGAGAGAGGGGTAAGAGGGACAGTATGGTTGCGCCAGGGCCTGTGCGGGCCCGGGGATCACAGAGAGCTGCCCTAGATAAGGACCTTTTTGAATGAGACCTGAAGACATCCCTGTGAGGGACAAAGGGTAGAAGCACTCTGATGCCTACAGAGTGACAGCATCAGAATGAAGCTTGCAGAGCCTGAAGGAGGAGGCTGGAGAACAAGGGGGAGTGAGTTGAGTCCTGACTGGGGCTGGTCAGGCTTTGCTAGACTGAGTTCAGTAGCCCTTTGGGTAGCTTCAGGCTGGGGGAGCTTTTGTCCCCTGGTGGACAGTAAGGAAAATGTAGACTGTAGAGTTGTAAGGATTTTGTATCACTTCCTACTAAGCATTTATAAAATTTCCATGTAGTTGTAATAATGCATCACCTTCCATCTGGAATTCTTAACTGTTCACAACCAAGCTCCTCTCTGAGGTGCCAATAGGATGTCATCAAACTAAGGTCAGTGGTCTGTGCCAGGCCAAGCTGTGTCTGCAGTACTGGGGATCCAGCACCATGTTAACGGCCATTGAGATGTGCTAGAGCGTGTTTGAGGAGAAGACAGGATCAGTGTCCCTGTGTCCTCGTATGAGCCACAATATTCCATCCCCTCTCCCACTTCAAAGACCTCAGAGCCATCTGAGTCCTGAAACCAGGGCTGGTGTGAGGCTCTCAGCCTCTTTCTCTCACTTCTGGGGGCATCTCCATCTTCCTCATCCTCAGGACGTCTGGACCTCACTGGGTCAGGGAAGGTGTGGATCCTCTCAGACCACACTGGGGACTCCCTTAGCAGAGGACCAGGTTCATATCAGAGACACCTGTCACACCTCACAACCCCCCCTCTCCTTAGAAGCAAGGAACTGCTCTGGCGTTACACAAAACCAGAGTCCTCTTGCTCTACACCAGGGAGCTCTTTTGTCTTCTGAAATATCCTAATATTTTTTTGTCTATTTTCACTTCTGAGATGAAGGCATGAAGGATCCATTTCCCTTTCCTGACTATGAGGGAAGATGGCAGCAGCAAAATGTTTGGTGGCAATGAGAAGTCCTCATTGCAGAGGGTGGAGTGTTTGTGAATTACAAGTGATGGTGTTTGAGGTTTGCTCACCTACCCATGCCCAGATGGTGGAGCCTTACATCTGGGGTAGCCATGTGGATCCGGTGTTGCCCACAGGTAAAAGAGGCAATGAGAAGGAAATGTTCACTGGACGTCGTGAGGTTTCTTTTCATCTCCTTGTCTGATAACCATGCACAGCCTACTTGAGCAGTGAAGAGGTTGAACATGACTGCCACTTGTTTACTTCACTTGTTTTACTTTACTTCTTTTAATTACACTTAAATCTGGCCAACCCATGAAATATTGCCTCTTTGTGAGCACCTCTCCCTGGATATTCTCAGGGGACAGAGATGTGACTAGGGCAGGGTGGGATGAGGCAGGTAGGGAGTCGGCACCTGAGGGAGGAGATAGCTTTGGGATTTGATCTTGGGGCAGGTGAGTGGGTAAGTTTGGGCTACTGGGCAGGGAGGAGGGGCTACCGAAACAGAGGCTGGAAGCTGCCTTCCTGGAGAAAAACAGCAAGGAAGTTGTCCTGCTGCAGCTGGGCTGGGGAGAAAAGCAGCCTGGGGTTGACCTCGGGGGCTGGATGGTGAGAAGAGGTGTGCTGCGTGTCAGTCACTGGTCACACAAGGAGGCGAGGACTAATGTGGGCTTCATTATTATTATTATTATTATTTTGGTGGGACTGTGGTTTGAACTCAGGGCTTTGCACTTGCAAAGCAGGCGCTCTACCACATAAGCCACACCTCCAGTCCATTTAGCTGTGGTTATTCTGGAGACAGGGTTCTGCAAACCATTTTCCTGGATTTGACCTTGAGCCTCAGTCCTCCTGATCTGTCTTTCCCAAGTAGCTACGATTACAGGCTTGAGTCATGGGTGCCCAGCAGAAGTGGTTCTTGATGGGGGAATAGTCTAGTGCCTACTGCTCCCAGAATACTTTTCTTTGTAGAGTCAGTGTAGATCTGAGGCCTGTCAAGAACTGAGACTGGATACAGAGAAGTTGACAAGGGAGGCCCCCCACAAAAACAGTGGGTGCCAGGACAGGGTAGAGATGACTGTGGTACTGCTCAGAAGGATCTTTCCCAAGGGAGTCCCCATGAGCACACAGATAATTTTGACAAGGGTGACTTGGGAGGTGTTAGGAAAATGCCGCACATTGCACACAAAGGAGGCTCACAAGAGTTATCTCATGTCCAAAAGTTTAATAAGCAGGGTGGCTGGCCAAGAAAAGGAAAAAAAAAATGCTGCAGCAGCTTTTCTCGGCGGGTCTGGCCTTAAGTAGCATTTGGGAGAGGGCAAGGGATGGACAAAGAGAGGGGATGGGGGATAAGGAACAGTGGGCTTTGATCTGTAAGGGATGAGACCAGCTGCAGGAGCAAGGTCTTGAGGCAGGCAAAGGGAGGTGGCGGGAGATAAGGACAGTGAGCTTTGATCATCAGAGGATGAGACCAGCTGCTGAAGCAAGGTCTAGGGATGGGTAAATGAAGGGGGGTGGGTGGGAGATAAGGAATGGTGGGTTTTGTTTGTAAGGAGTGAAACCAGCTTCAGCTTAGGCTGCAGAAGAGACAGTTCCCATCATTCCCCCATTTTTTGTTTAATAATGATGAGGGTAGGGGCTGACGATCAGGAATTGGGGCGAAGCATTGGTCTCTTTAGCTGCTTCCTGCTGGCAGGGGACATTGTATGGGGCAGGATCCTCAGGCTCTTGTGGTGTCCTGGATGGGCCCTTTACAGTAGTTTTTCAAGGTGGTTTTGGAGAGGTTGATGTCCCTGGAGGTACAACTGGTTAAATTTTTGATTAGCAGTAGCAGACATGTTGTATGATACAAGGGATGAAGCTTAAGAATAGAAGAACAAGAAATATAGGCATTAGGATGGGCATTAATCAGGAGAACCACTGTAAAATGTTGTTCCCTAGAAGTTTTAAGAGTCTGTTCCTTAAGAGGTGCTGCCGCTGGGAGATCCCATTGAGCCTGACAGCAGTGGTTATCGTGAGAATGACCAGGTGAGAGCTGGTCCACCAAAGTCCCAATGGAGAGGGTAGAAGATCTTTTAGGAGAAAAAGATCAGAAATTGTTATAGGGTGGAGCAGGATCTGGTCTGTATGCTCTTTAGGAAGTTCCCTGAGAAGATTAAGATAAGGCAGGTAGTCAGCCAGAGGAGCAGGGTCTGTTGGAGGCAAGTTTTCTAAGAGAAATGGGTGGCCATATATTATTTAAGACACAAATAGGAATATTAGGAGAGCATAAAAGGTATCTTGCATACCTAGGGATCTAAAGTTTGTAAAATCCTATAACTCCCAGGAAAGCTCTAAGCTGCTTTATGGTATGGGGAAGTGGGAAAAGGAGGATTGGGTTGATTTACTCATAACTCAGGAAGTGAGTCTGTCCCTTTAAGAACACACCTAGGTAGATGACCTGAGGGAGACATAATTGAGCCTTGTCCTAGAGACTTTGTATTCCCGGAGGTCAGAAAGGTTTAAAAGGGACTCAGTTGCATTGCAGATAAGGGGTTCTGTGGCTCTGCATTGAAGAAGGGTGGCCTCTGGGCAGTGCCAATCTAAGAAGTCTCTGGTTAGGGCCTGTCCACAAAGTTGAGGGCTGTCTTTAAATTCTTGTGGCAAGACTGACCAGGTTAGTTGTTATGAAGCATTTGTGGGAACTTTTAAAGAGCAAATAGAGGCTGACTGTCAGAATGCAGGTTAAATATAACACTTTTGGATAAAAGAGAGGTTTAGCTCATCATTTTACATAAACTGACACTTTTAACTCTGTAAATGTTTGTACCATATTTAGATAAAGTCTAGATATTGAACTCAGTTATAAGATGGTCATTTAAGAGACTGTTGTATGAGCAAATATACAAATGAACTCTGATTTAGTAGTACTTAAAGTTTGACAAGATCAACAGAAAACATAAATAATTTCTTTGATAAAGTCTTTTTCTGTAACTTTTTTTTGTAGATGTTACTCAGAGCAGAACATAGAGAATTTGATTATACTATTTTATAGACATAGAGAATTTGATTTTATTTAACATGACCCTAAAAATCTTGTAGGCAACTCTTAAATTATATTTAACTTTAATTTTATTACACATTGAAGCTTATTATTATATATTTTTAAAACTTATTTAGACCTTTATATAACATATTAAACCTTTTGATGGCTGCCTTTATCCCTCCTATTTGAAGCAATATTTAGGACAAACTCTTCTTTATAAAATCCTTTTTTATCCAAAAACATTTTTTTAACTTTTAAAAAAAATATATTTACTACCTATCTATATCTTTTTTAGTTGTTTACTTTGTACCTTGCATTTTAAAATTAATTTTTATAAGAATTTTAAATTTATTATAGGAGCTGAAGTAACTAATTAGTAGTCCTTGTTTTAAGGAATTTATGATAGGCAAAAGGCCTCATCATCCCTCAGGCTTGAGGTGATATTGCTTTGGATGTGGAAACTATGAGGGATTTTTGAGTTTTATTTGAATAGGGAGGGCCATCAAGGCTCGCCCTACACTCATCTCATCAGTCCACACTGTGGGATCTATTTGTTCCTGAAGGAGGGGGCAGCAGAGATAGCTGCATGGGGGAGGAGAACTTGAGTTTTTAGCTGTGATAGTAAACCCCACCCCAGCAGGGACATTGGAGTTTTAGGTATATGAGGAAAGAGTGACAGAAGAGGAGGTCTCCCCAAGAGCAGGCCAGAGGCCGGGTAAACTAGCACTCTAGGAGCTGGCCAGATTTTTCCTGAATGATAACCTTGTCATTGAACTGGGGACTGGGAGAGAAATGGGCTCCACTGTGTAGGAGGAAAATGACCTTTAGCTTTTTTACCATTATGACTACCCCAAGGCTCCAAGTAGTGGAGCGTGGACAGGAGGCTGGGACCCATCAATCCATGGGAGGTGGCACCTCGCCTTCCATCTGGAATGGGGGCACTTAGACCTCCAGTGGTTACCTTTGCAGAGAGGGCACGGTCCTGGTTGGGGGCGGGGCTGTCTCCTGGGCTGTCCCCCTTAAGCATTCTCTGCAGAAGTGCCCCTCCTGTCCACCATGGTAACAAACTCGAGATGTAGGCCCCAGTCGGGTGGGGTGAGGTCATGTCTCTTATCTTTCTCTCTGTTAGTAATGTCCCAGTTATAATATATAGATATGGCTAGTTGTATTAGTTGATCCAATGACTTTTTTCCTTCAGCCATAGACTGAGTTTTTTACAAATATTAGGGGCTGACTGTTAAAAATTTATCTTTGAGGAGAACCTCTCTCACCTGTGACTCTGGGTCCACTGTGGTATGTTTTCTGATAGCATCCTTAAGATGTTGTAGAAAGGTAAGGGGATTTTCTTTTAGGGCATTGCTATAAAGCAAAGTTGTTATTTTACATTGACACCTGACACTCTGGAGGGCAGGTCTTTGAACTGTTCTGGGCCTCAGTTTCCTCATTTGAAGAATGAGGAAACTGGTCTAGGTTAAACTACTTTTTTCATTATGAGATGGCTGAAGTGGCATTAATGGCAGTTATCTTTTTATTATTATTATTATTACTATTATTATTTGATTTAGTAATGTTGGGGAATTGAACCCAGGACTTTGTACATGCTGGGCAGACATTTTCCCATTAAGCTACTTCCTCAGCCCCAAATATCTTTTGTCTTTGGCTGGGTTGGATTTGAGCTCAGGGTTTTATGCCTGCAAAGTAGCACACTACTGCTTGAGTTATATCATTAGTTCCTTTTAGTGTGGATCATTTAAGGGGACTGTCTGTGCCCCTGTAGGTAAGTGTATTTATTTCCTCATTTCTAGGTGTCGCTAGTATTGGGGCTTATTGTAAATAGTAATCATTTTAAACCTGAGTGGCCTGGGCTAGAACCCATTTTATTTTTAATGAGACAAGAATCTGGTCTAGTAGAAGCATAATATCCTTTTATGTTAATTGAAAAGTTTGGACCTCTTCCTACCATTACCTGTTGAAAGGGGAAGCACCCATTAGGAGGTTCTGGATATTAGGGTGGCTTAGAAGGTAGGGCAGAGGGTGGAGCAGTAAGGGTGGGCCTTGTCATTGAGAAGGGGCTTTTTTGGTCCTCCTTTCCATGTTTATCCCGTGGCTTACAAAGAATGGCCAGCGTTTGAATATCTAAATAGCAATTGTGGAGCCACTCTGAAATGAAAGAAAATTTATATGGGGACCTTAGCTTACCTTTTTACTTTTATAGAAAAGGTCTAATTGGAGTATGGTATTGCAATTTAAGGAACCCTGTGAAGGCCACTTCTCTTGGTCACCCAAGGCATATTGAGGCCAGGCCTCAGTACAAAGGTTTTAACATCTACAAGCCAGAAGACTGGAAGGTGCAGATCCCATCTAGAAAGAACAAAATGTTAGGATCCTGCCTTTTAGCTAATAGCGGGCAGCCTCTTTAATAAAGGCTACTTTTGATAGAGAAATAAATCATGTGTAAAGTTAGAGAAGGGCATTCAGAGGGCATTTTGGGTCAATAACAGTACCACATGGGACAACTAGTGTTTATATTTGGAGGAAAAAATTTATGTTAAGGCCAAAAGTATAGAAAATTTTAAATGAGAAGTTTAGAGACCACAGTAATGTGTTATTTTGGGACTATAACCTGAGTTAACAATTGGCTTACAGGGGCTGCAGTCCTGATCCTGCAGCCCATCACCTCTCCCCCCTTCCTGTGTACTCTGCGCGTGTTTATTCTAGGGAAAGTGGTGGTGGGCCACAGCCATCGCCACGTGTGACTGGCGACCCAGGTTGTGCTGGGTCCTCTCTATGGATTTTCTTAGCTATGGCAGGCGTTTTTGCTGTGTCCAGGAGCCGGCATCCTGTGCATGAGCGCATCTGTTTGTTTTGCCTCCTCCCCTTGTGGGGGTGGAATTAGAGCACGAATGTGGCAGCTGCAGTTTTGTAAGCACTTTTGTAAAGCAGCTGACTTAGAGTTACTTTAGACTGAGAAGCCTGGCAAACTAGTTGGAATAACTTGAGTCATAAGGTACCATGTTACAAGTTTTTCATGGGAGGCAGGGTCCCAGTAAGCCCAGGGAGGGGAAGGCAGACAGAGACAAAGGACATGTGGTGAGACCATGGAGGAGGCAGAAAAGGTGTCCTGATATCTTAGGTAAGGAAGGGGAAGGCGGAGACTGGAGGCATGACACACGCCTATGGGATTAGCCATCACCTGTGTCTCTAGGTCGCTCCCATTGACTGGTACTGGAACATTTTCAGCAACATGAAACCTCCACTCTCCAGTTGCTGTCTCAGGAAAAAGGGACATTAAACAGGAGGGGGGAAGAGAAGCAGTCATCAGATGCCATAATTAAACAGGATTCTGCCAGAGTAGCATGAGGCATACTGAATAAACTTGGGGCTTGGTCTCAGCCCACAGGGAGGGGCATGAGCTCCCCAGAGTCGGAATCGCCATGAGGCCAGAGTTGGCAAGGAGTGGCTTGTTTAACTCCACAACGGGAAAGTTTCAGGAAGATAGAAAGAGACAAGCAACGTGAGCAGCACAAGAAGTCCGTCTACATGGGGAAGGAGGAGGTTAGGGAGAGGATTTTGGTTTGTTGGCAGGGTCGAAGAAAGGGAAGGTTTCAGAGTCAGGGATGTTAATTGGGGTTTTTATGGCCAGAAGGACTTGGGCAGGGGAGCAAGAGGTGCAGAGAGAAGGCTTAGAGCAGAGATAAGAGAAGTCTGGGACATAGAGAATTTCCTTTTACTTTTCAGTGCGTTCACAGGTGTAGAGATCCCTGAGAATGTTAGGGTCGAGTGTGCCATCTAGTGGCCATTTAGAGTTATTGTCCAATTGGTATTGTGGCCAAGCCTGATTGCAAAGAAAAATTAGTTTTGGCCTTTAGATCAGGGGAGAGCCGTAGGGGCTCAAGGTTGGCCAGCAGACAGCCCAGAGGGGTGTCTGAGGGAATTTTGGCAGGTCCAGTGCCCATGGTGAGACCCGGTTTGAGGAAGAATATGGTGGGCATCCCCAAGATATTCCTTTCCTGGATGAAACAGAGAAGTGGAGGGACCTCAAGGGAACGTCTTCACTGAGAGATCGCCCACGCCTCAGAAACCTGGTTCCTGAGCTGAGTGAGTCGGGACCTAGTACTAGGATTTCCACCAACTGAGAGAGAACCATGACTTACGGCGCAGCAGCGCGAGGGAACTCACCAAGGGAAGACCAAGTAAATCAGCTGGTGGTGGGTGAGTTACAGGAAGAGCACTGACCTTGAGGAGGTTCCCTGTGAGCAATGACGGCACTAGTCTAGGAACAGGGGTCCTGGCAAAGCAGCTCAGATCCCAGTAAGTTTATCCATGCTTAAGGAAGGCAGCTCCCACCTACGTAGCATTGGTAGGCTGATATAAACCCTCAGCTTGCCCCCCCTATATAGGAGATGTCTGCCTTGTGGCCAAAGTAGGCTTGAGAGTGCAGTATATATCCGGAGAGCCTGGAGTCACTGACTGGGAGAGCTTGATCAATGCCGTAAGCTCACCTGTTCCCGGCCCATGCACCAAATATTAGGAAAACGCCGCACATCACACACAAAAGAGGCTCACGAGAGTTATCTCATGTCCAAAAGTTTAATAAGCAGGGTGGCTGGCCAAAAAAGGAAAAGAAAAATGGTGCAGCAGCTTTTCTCGGCGGGTCTGGCCTTAAGTAGCACTTGGGAGAGGGCAAGGGATGGACAAAGAGAGGGGGTGGGGGAAAAGAACAGTGGGCTTTGATCTGTAAGGGATGAGACCAGCTGCAGGAGCAAGGTCTTGAGGCAGGCAAAGGGAGGTGGCGGGAGATAAGGACCGTGAGCTTTGATCAACAGAGGATGAGACCGGCTGCTGAAGCAAGGTCTAGGGATGGGTAAATGAAGGGGGGTGGGTGGGAGATAAGGAATGGTGGGTTTTGTTTGTAAGGAGTGAAACCAGCTTCAGCTTAGGCTGCAGAAGAGACGGTTCCCATCAGGAGGTGTGAGTGTGAGATCTTTAGGGACACTGGATGGACTGGGCAAGAGTCCTTAGAAGGACAGAGTTGGGTCTGTAGCAGCAGAATTACTCTGTGGATGGGATGAGGTGGGAATGAGGAATGGCACTGACAAGGCTTGGTTGGAGGAGCTGGCAAAGCAGTCCAGGAGCTCAGCTGGCTCTGTTTCCCAGGAGCCATGCTGCATCCAGGTAGCAGGATGCTGTACTCAGGAAGTCTCCATGCTGGGTATGTGCTGATTAAAAGGTCAGGCACTGAAGCAAAGCGTGAATAGTGAAAAGATTCCAGTGTTTTTAGGGGAAAGTAGTATACTGAAAAATTGATTGATCTGGCACTCCTGATGGTCTAACAGGGAGTGGTAGGCAAGCGTTCTGCCACTGAGCCACACACCCAGACCTCACTCTCAGGGTCAGAAACACCCACAGTAGGTCTAAAGCTTGCTCTCAGCCTCCCCACAGCCACACTCAGGAGTGCAGTAATGTGACAGGCACAAGATATGGTAAACATGGCAATGAACCTAAGGTCCCTCCATGTGCAAGGGCGCACAATACAGAAATTAGTGACTGGCTCTGCAAATGCTTCCTCACTCCATCACTCCCACACCTGTCTCCCCTGCCTTCTCACTGCCTCCTCCCTGCTGCAGAGCCTGGGGACCAGCGGCCCTGAGACACTGTCCATGGTGCTGATGACCAGGAAGGGCAGGTGAACTGTGATCTCACTGTTCTTTAGTTCCTAACAGCTGAGCGCCACTCAGAAGTTGAGAACGTGTCGGGGTGCCATGTGCAGCTCCAGAGGAGCTGGAGGGTGCGGTGGACGTAATTGAAGGGCTGATACAGAGAAGTGTCACTCAGTGACAATATGACAAAATGGCCGTGAGAGTTTTGGTACACAGAACAGAGTCCTTTCAAGACTCCCTAGATCCTCATTTCTAGTACAGGAGACACTCGGTGATTTTCTGGATGGTGGGGACCTCTGAGTCCTCTGCAGCCTGCAGGGCTCTTGGGAATCTCACCTCTCCCTGTGCATGGACCCTGGCTCCTACCTCCCAGCTCCTGTATCATAGGAATACAGAGCTTGTATTGTGGAAACAATGTAGAGACGATGTTTCCCCTGCATGGAATTTCAGGTTAATTTCTGCTCAGAGAAGTTCCCATGAGAACAAAAAGAACCAGTGAAGGAAAGGGTCTCTTTATTTCAGCTGCTTTCCAGTTGACACTTATAGCTCCATTCACACTCTGTAGACTCTCCCTTATTTATATAGGGCAGGTGACCTTGGTCTGTCCCATCCAGAGCCTTGGTCAGCCTGTCTGGATCCCAAGAAACCCACAATAGCCCTTCCTCCCCAAGTCACGGTCTCCTTGGGGCTTAGGGTCCATCTCTGACCACAAGCCAGAGTCTGAGGTTCTAGAAGGAATTTCCTTGATCCAAATGCAGAAATTTCTAGAGAAAACTAAGAAGTCACATGTCCTTTGTGGTTGATCTGATCATAAATGTCCATGTCACATTTTAGTAAGTCCTGTAAAATGAATAAAGAGGCCTCTGAGCCATGTGTCCCCTTCACATCAGGGTCCAGCGTCTCCCAAGCCCTGTCCCACCCAGATTGCTATCTGCATTGACCTGACTCAGGAGTCCAGTCCCCAGGCCTTCCCTCCTTTGCTCACCACCACCTCATCCCCTTTTTACTGCTAATTCCTGAATCTCAAAGCCCAGGCATGTATGGGTTATGGCAGGTCCTGGGTCTCCTTTGGCCAGTGGGACCAGAACATTCATCTCTCACACTCGCCTGGTAGATGGGAACAGCTGTATTTGAACCAGGAAGAGGGGCCTAAAGGGGGGAGAGGGAACAGATGGCAGGGGAAAGGGAAGGAGAACCACCCAAGCTGAGGCTGCAGTGAGCAAGTGCCAGGCAAAGATCGAAGGTTCTGGTCTCTGACAGGCAGAGCTTACTTCCCTATTTCTACTTCCCCATTTCACCTCTGGAGTGAACAACTCTAGCTCCTACACACCATCCTCCAACCCAGATGACTCCTCCTCAAGTCCTAGCTGTGCCCACCCAGCACACCCCTTGTCCCAGTGTTTGATGCTCCCAGAGCCCACACTGCACCTGCTGGTCTCCAGCAGTACTCTCTGATGGTCAGGGACACCCGGGATGGGGTCAAGACTGGGCGAGGTGATCCTGACCCTGTAGAAAGGCTCAGTACTTGCCATGGCTGGGCTAACACTGTCCTGATGCGTGGGAAAATGGGCCTGTACTGAAGTGGGGAAATTGAACCCACCCTTAGCCTGCAGAGCTGGCAACCCCTTTGTGAAGGGGGAGGGACAGGCTTACCATGGAAGTGGAGCTGTCCAAGGGTCCTTGACCTAAGGGCACAGTCAGGAGTTAGCAGGAGGGTGTGAGGAGGTATGGGCCCTTCCTATAGGAAACTTGTGGGAGGTCCTCTGATCTCACAGCATTTTCAGGGAGACACTCTCCAAGGTTTTAGTGTCAAGTGAGTAACTGAGGCTGAGGAGGTAACCATGACTGGATCCCATGGGTCTGTGCTGACCTGGAGTTTGGGGTCCACTGTGCCTAGTGTTTTCTCTGATCTCTGTGAAGCCTCAGGGAAGGATCAGACCCCCCAAGGGTGACTGCCAGGGTGGATAGTTTGGGGGTTCTAGTCACAACGTGGGGTTAAGTGTCACTTACCTGGAGTAGATGCAGGGGGCCAGTGCTCTCTGATGATGGGGCCCCTAGAAAAGCTCAGGTTTGTTAATAAGGGGGCAGGGAGAGGTCACAGACTTGGGTGCAGACAGGGGATGAGGAGGGGACCCCATTTTAAGTGTGGTGTGGACACCTCTTCTTTCCATCACTTCTGTGGTAAGAGCAAGGGACCCTGGAGAGGGCAACTGAGCAAAACCTTCAGAATCAATTTCTGTCCTGGGCCTCAGCAGAAAGTCACTCAGGCAACACAGACTCAGTACTGATCTAGGGACCCAGAAAAGGGACTGAGGTCCCAGGAAAGTAGGCAACCTGAGGGTTTGACTTAGTGGAAAAGTCCAGGCCTGGGAGGGAGAGCGGGGCCAGCTGTGTGGACAGGACCCTGGGAGAGCCGCATGCATCGGCATTCTCCATGAACTGTCAGGGCTGAAATGTAACAGTGGCTTTGTCTTCTCCCTCTATCTGCCTTGGCAGTACACAGGACATTCAGGACCTGCTGTCCTGACTAGGCCCTGGCAGTTGCATCTCACCTGTAAGGGACCATGGACAGCACAGCAGCCGTGGGGAGAACTGACCCCACCCAGCCTGTCCAGGCTCCTCCACTCTCCCTGCATCACCTCGACCATGACTGCCCCTCAGATCCTGGGCTGTGACACCTCCCTGGGTGGTGGGTAAAATACACAGGGAAGAGTGTGTGCTGAGCAAGCACTCCCAGGCAGTGCTGCAGGTTTGCTGTGTGAGGGATCAGGACAGAGCCCGGGCTGGGTTCCTGATTGTGCCATTTACGGAGGAGGAAGAGTTGAGGAGCAGCCTGGGGTCAACACTTAGTGAGGAGGAGCTGGTGGAACAGGGGAAAGCTTCCCTGGGAGGTTGGGGGACAGGAGCCAGGTCCAGAACCCGAGGTCTCCACCCTGGTCAGCCACAGGTGGGGTCAAGTAGGGAGAGCCCTCAGTACCTGCCAGTCCTTCTGAGGAACAGGAAACAGGTCACTGCGGCCACCAGAATCACACCGAGCACAACTCTGGTCACAATGGCTGTGATGGCCCCCACAGAGAGGCCTGAAGCTTTTCCTGCTGCTGAAGAGAGAAGAGAAAAGGGAAGAACTGTGTCCAGAAGAGCCACAAGGGACCTTGCAGGAAAGGGACCAGAAAATGTGTCACTAAAGGTCCGAGAGTATTTTATGGTGTTGTCATCTCCACGTCCACAACTGTGCGGATGTCAGCATTGCTTCATTTCCTATTGAAACCTGAACTTGCTCTAACTCTCATGTTCCCCCTCCTGCGACCTGTACCATGCTCTGTCATGTTCCTGTTAGTGCCTCTTCCTCTGCTTCCTCTTCTCCCTCCTATGACAGTCCTGGAGGACAGGTCCTAACTGGTCAGCACGAAGATTAGGAGTGATGATGATGATGGTGGTGGTGACTCCCTGCTCTCAGGGGCCCTCTATGGGTCAGCCCAGTAGAAGTCACTTTCCCTACATCTTAAATCAACCTTCTGTCCCGTGAGAAGCAGCAGATGTCACTTCATAGTGCAGATGTAGGGTCTGACACCATGTGTGTAAATAACCAACCCAGGTCACCGCTGGTCAGTGATACAGTAACATGCTCACCCAGGTCTGCCTGACTCACCAGCTAACACCAAGTTCATGGAAGTGTTACCAGCAATTGCATTGCCTGAGCCGTGACCCTGCAGGCCCTGTGATAAGGACTTTAATGCCATTGGTCTAATAAATGTCCCCACAACAACTTGAAGAGCCAGGCTTTGTGTTATAATTTCACAGATGAGGAAACTGAAGCTCAGGGGTTGAGTGGGGCCAGGGCCTGGCTCCTTTCTCAGACATTCCTCCAGTTCTAGGTGCCACAGTGAGCTGTGTAAGGTGACCCCTAGATGGCCCTACTCTTTGCAAGGTTGGGTGTCTTTGTGTAGGTGATGATCTGTAAGGAGGAATGCTCCTCCCTCTGACCCCAGATCACCCAGGGTGACCCCAGAATGGTCCCTTAGATGTCTCTGTAGGATTCATATGGGAAATCTCTTCTCAGTCCATGGGTCCCAATCCTCAGGTGTTCACGTGTCTTCTCTTTCTAGAACTTTTGTGATGGTCTGAGTTCATTCTGTATTGCTATAACAGAATGTCATGTGGCTGGATAATTTATTAAGAACAGTGTTCTTTGTTTTTTGTTGTGTTTTTTCCTTTTTTTTGCTCACTGTTCTGGAGGTTGGGAATTCTGAGATCAAGGGGCTATCTACTGAGGGCCTCTTGCTGCATCACAGATTGGGAAGGCATCCCATGAGCTTGTGTGAGAGAGAGGAGGGAAGGGGAGAACCTCATCCCTTCATGATGAATCTATATCCTTGCTAACTGGCCCACTCCTGGGTCAGCAGCAGGGCTCCATTCATGAGGGCAGAGCCTTCAGCACCTATCCACTTTCCATTGGGTGCCATCTTTGATCCCTGTTGTGTTGGGAATTCTATTTTCAGCACATGTTTTTGGGGATGCTCTGTAAAAATTAGGCTCCCATCTCTTGTACATGCTGCTCTGTAAGTTGGGGAAGGGGATTATGAGCCCCATCTCTGGGTCGGGGAAGGATAACATGGAATAGTGATTGCAAGAGCTTCTGGTAAAACAATTTGTTAGGGAATGAGGAGAGCCCAATCCAGTTTTCAAGACTTTAACAGGTATTAACGGCCTAATAAAAATTTCTTTATTAACAAGGAAATAGGCTTCCTGGCTTACCAAGAGTATTTCATGGTGAATAAAATCTCTGGAAGGGTGGACCCAGTGCTGACAACAGCTGCTCATCCCACCTTCTATCAATATTCACCTCGGCACTGCCTTCCCTTGCACACACGGACTCCAAAGTGAAGCTCCCTGACTCCAAGCGAGTGTCCCTCAGACTTCTGCGTGGTGTATCACACGTGCTGGTCTCCATAGCCTTATAGAGCCAGGAAGAGCTAAGAGGCATTGATCCTGAGACTCAATTTCCTCAAATTCCTACAACTGAGCCAGGGAGGCTCAGGCACTGATTGGTCTCACAATTTACCCAGACTCACCACAGACCTCTTATGTCTCCTCTCCACCCCAACCCAACCCAGCCGACCTCACATAGAGTCAGAGCAGAGCCCGTCACCAGGTGGGACAGGAACAGAGCTCTGAGCAGCTCGTTTCCCCACCTAACTGGGTTTCCTCCTCTCATTTGGGGAAAAGCAGTCTGAGCATGGTCTAAGACTGGGTATGAGTTGTAGATGAAGAAGGAGGTAAAAGGAAACTGAGAGTTGAAGGAAAGGGATGGGTTAGTGACAGATGGAAGCTACTTGACCTTATAGACCCTTCCACTCTCCCCAAGTGTGGTAGCAAGCCTGGAGCTTGGGCCTCTGTGGGGCTGGAAGATCCCCTCCTCACCATTTCATGCTGAAACCCCAGTTCAGCCATGAGAAATGAGAGGAACAAAAGGATAGAGAGACTCAAGGATGGAGCTGTAGGTTCAGGGGAGGACTGAGATTTGCCAGGGTCTATGCGCACAAGCTAGGGATGAGCTTCTCTCTGCTCTTCCAGAAAACCCAGGCCTCCACCTCAGAGATTGGCACTCACGTTTCAGCAATCCACACTCCAAGGACTAGAATATTCTTGACTGTGGTCCTACTGAGGCCAGTGGCAGAGTTGTGGACGAGGCAGGTGTAGATTCTGTCATTATTTGCAGTGACATTGGGGATAAAGAGCTCTTGTGTGGATGACTGGGGCCTCCCATTGAAAAGCCAGGAATACTGCACAGGTGGGTGAGAGGCTGCGTGGCAGGAGAGGCTGAGGTTGGCCCCGGGAAGGAAATGTGATTCTGGAGATGTGATGGGGGTGTCCGGGCCATCTGGAACAAACGAAAAGAAGCCACATGAGATGTCCACAGAGGGAAGATCCTGCTTTACAGAAAGCCACAAGATAGCCCTGAGTGATGTCACAAACTTGTTTTTAAAAAGTCCCAACCAAGCTGGGCACCGTTGTCTCACACCTGTAATCCTAGCTCTCAGGAGGCAGAGATCAGGAGGATCACAGTTCAAGCCAGCCCAGGCAAATAGTTTGTAAGACCCTATCTTGACAAAACCTATAACAAAATTGGGCTGGTGGAGTGACTCAAGGTGTAGGCCTTGAGTTCAAGTCCTAGAACTGCAAAATAAAAAAAAAGTCCCAACAAGGGTGAGTAATGTAGCTCAGTGATAGAGCACTTGCCTAACATGCGGTGCGCCCTGGGTTCCATCCTCAGCACAGCACACACTAAAACATCCCAGCTGCCCCCTCTGTTCCCTGATGCTGAGTCTGAGACATGTCCTGTTCCTCCATCACAGGAGGTGACCCCAGCTTCTCCAGACAGGAACAGCCTCTTCTCCAATCCTTGGCTCAAATCTGGGCTGCCTGGATGGGCCTGGCATAGGATATCATGGCTTGTCTGGTGCCCAGGGATGAGGGACTGTGTACTTGAACCTGAGAGGGACTGAGTGGCCTTGTCTCTGGCCCTGTGTATTGGGGCTGGCATCCAGGGCCATGGAGGAATAGAGTTACTCACAGAGGACATTAAGGGTGACAGGGTCACTTCATTTGGTGCTCACTGGGTTCCAGGTTCCACACTCATAGTTTCCAGTGTCATCTCTTGTGACTCTGAGTAAAGTGAGGGTCCTGTTGTCCTTGAATAGCTCCAGCCTGTCACTGTCTGGAACTCTGTGACCATTTATCCACCACAGGTAGGTTGTGTCTGGAGTCTCAGACTCACACATTAATGTTACAGAGTCCTTGCCCTCCACGGGGCTGGAGTTGGTGCTTGTGATGAAGGATTTGGGTAACTCGGCTGTGCAGATATCAGAGAGAAAATGGTTCTGTGTGGTACCTGTGATCCCTGCAGAGGCCTCTTCCCTTTAGAGTCACCCTCTCTCTCTTCCCAACAAACAAACCTCAGTTTTTAAAGAACCAGGCAGGAGTGGATCTTACATTGGATGCCTGAGGACCTGAGCGAGCACTCAGAAAACATGGGGCCAACTGAATTTATGTGAAAGAACAGACTTTCTCATGAGTGAACTTAGCTGAAGCCTTAGGCCATGGACAGACAGGCCCAGGCTCTTGCGACAGAGTCCTCTGGAGTTTCTCCTGGTCCTTATAGATGTGTTGCTTCTCTGTCCTCAGGACCAGTGGGTTCTCAGCACCTTCAGTTTGACAGACCTCCCCTGCTCAGCCTGAGTTATATGCTCTGAGACTCTGCTTTACAAAGGTGTACTAGAAAAGGGTCCTGATTGACTTCCCATTTTTCTTGTACTGAGGAGCCAACATGGTCTGGCCTGAGTACCAAGTGTGTTAGTAGACAGCATAAACACGCAGACATGGAGCATTTGGAGCTGTGGATAGGTTGGGGGCTGCAAGATTGAACAATCTGCTCAGGTATGTGGTGATAATTGGCATGAGCCAAGCACACCCCAAAAACAATAATTCCCAGGAATGATCTAGGAAAGAGTGCTCTAAATAGTGCTCTCCATAGTCTTCAGAGCAGAACTTCTTTCTTGTCCTTAGGCTTTAGTGTCCCTGCTCCCTCTGCAGAGGACAGATAAAGACCCTGTGTCTCTCCTGCAAAGCTTGTGGAGGTTTTCAAGTGCAGAAGAGCAGGCCAAAGGCAGGGAGAATGAACTTGCTGCACTTCAGGCTCTTGTGGCCATGCGTGTCTGACACATCTGAGATGGGAATTTGTGACACTGGGAAAAATTGTAATAATTGTGTTAATATCCAGATCTAAGACCAATTCTTGAAAGGAATATTTCTGTACAGAGCATGGCAATGTCTTAGTCTGATCTCTGAAGTCCTACATGTCATATTATGCTGTGAGTCCTCCTGGAGGGACAAAGAGGTCAGAGAAGAAGTCTGAGGTGCTGAGCCTCAGGAGAGGGAGCGGCCCAGATGCCCTCGCCTAGATGTGGCCCTCAGGGCAGTGCACTGGCTGGTGACCAGTTCCCAGAGCTATGAGAGCAGACAGGCAGGAAATCACCGCTCTTAGTCAACCCAAAGAGGAGGCCAAATTCCAACGTTGGCCCCAGGTTTTCCAGGGTCATCTGGAGTTATAAACCTGAGATGGGACTAGGGGCAGAGAAATCCCAGGACAGAGCTTTGTCTGTGAAAATCCCCGGGAGGCCTTCAGGGTAGCTCTCTAAGTCCTATGGTCTTTTCCAGGGAGTGGCCCTGGGGACCAATTACCCCATCAGATTATTGTCTCTCTATCAGACACA